ACAGACAGACACACACACACAAATACATTTGAGTCATAAAAACACAACAAGGGCTCTAAATTATCTTATGATTTATTTATTTATTTAAATAATGCCCTGATATGCCTCTGGTATACAATTTCAAATCAAAACAAAAAAGCTGAATTTGATTAAGTTGAGTCAGATGTAGCTGTCATGCGGGTGCAGACACACACACACACAGCCCCCTTGTGGTTGCACAGGATCAGAAACATCCACAACACCGCAGACTCCTCACTTCCTCTGAGATGAGAATATATTTCACAACAAAAAGGTCTTGACTTTCCTTTCAAACATAACTTTTGTAACTTTGTGCAGCTGGAAGACCTGTTATATCCAATTCAAATGTTTAAATGAAGAAATTCTCACAAGAAACTACTAGACCTTCTGTAAGCTCACTTACATCAACAAGTGACTAAACAAGCAAAATGTAAAACTGGAGAAATTCTGGAGAAAAGTAATTAAAGCACTTCAGTCCATGTGGACAGCAAACTGTTAACACCAGCTTCAGTGTTCTTGTTAAAAGGATTAAATACACACCGAGGGCCACAGAGAGACATTTAACCGATATAGGGGGGCATAGTGAGAAGGCCTATATTTGGCTCAGTCCATTCTCCTTAGTTTAATGGAGACGAGGTGTCCATGTCGTCCACTGCACTGCTCCAGAGCTGAAATCATTAGCACTTCTGAAAACAAGTTAGTTCTCCTGTTTCATATAAATGAGGTTATTACTTTCTATTGTCAGTTAAAAGGCCACAGTATGACTTCCTTCATAATTCACTTCAGAGTTTATTCTGCAGCAACTTTACTATACACATCTGACTGTTTGATATTTCATTATTCATTCACCAAGAATCACGGGGAAGATACGCAAACTGTTTTTCAAAGGCAAAATTAACTGAATTCGTTACTCATGTACGAACCCCTGGTGATTAAAGTGAATGGTATGCTGCGACTAAACATACAACTAAAACATAACAGCTTCTTCAAACATCTCTGTAGAAACATTTGCAGCAGATAGTAAGAAATAAGCAACTGGGGATGTGATTTTTTTTATTTTTTTATTTTTAGATTAATTTAGAATTCAGGATTTTCCAACATGTATTTTGACAATGCAGGAAAAGCTCAGGTGCAGTGTATAAAACTAATGATGGCTCCATTCCATTAAGTGTCCCAGTATGTCAGTGAGTGAGCCTGCACAATACCAGAACACTGGAAGTGGCTACGACTATTCCTTCAAAGTGTATTTGACAACATGTCTGCAGTGAAAAGGGTCTATTAGGTGAATGGTGTGCACATTTGCATATCATATGCTACTGTTTGACTGATTCATCGACTATTTAATCTAGAGAAAAGTTTAGTTTAAATTGATCGTTAAGATCATTTTTATATATAGGTCAAACATGCTGAATATTCTCTTCTCCAATATCAGGATTTGCTACTTCTGTTTGTAATATTAAAAGATCTTTAGCTTTTGTATTGTCGGTCGAACAAAACAAGCAAACTGAAGCTTTTTCCGTGGGCTCTGAGAAACTGTGAATGCCATTTATTCACAATTTTTACATTTTAGACTAAAAAGTCATTGGTTAATCTAAAAGATAATTACAGATCGATCAATAATGCAAAAAATCCATAGTTGCATCCTCAATCTTTTTTTTTAATGAAAATCACTGTGACAGCTGTTTTGTATAGTGCCAGAGTCCTGCCTTACCTTGGTTCCTGAGGGAAAACGTTACTGCATTTAAGTGGAGCAACAAGGGGGTTGAGGCTTGTTGTAACAGAGGTACTATCACACCCTGGACCCTGCCCAGAACCGTCACAGAGGGTAAGAAGAAAAGAAAAACAAATATTCAAAAGAAAAAAAAGGTTAATTTTGTAATTGTTATTCCACATATTATTGTTACAGTACTAGTATTACTCATACAGCAATGAGATCTGCAGGACCCCAAACAATAAGGGAGTCACCCAAATGTCAACTAAACACAAGGGTTAAATTAGTTTTCACTTTCTTCCAGAGACTATTGCATTATCATAAATCACACGCCCAGCAACTTGGCAGCAACTTGAGCAGAGGTCTGAAGCAGGAGACAGATGCTTTTCTCACATGGGCAAACATCGACCCACCTTGTCAGGAACATCCTCCACCAGTGGGACTCTTCATCTGTTCTCACTTCTCTGCCCGAATTATCCTCCAGTGTGAAAACAACTACATGTCAGTCTGTCAGCATGCGGTAATGATTTCCTCCCGCATTTGGTGTTTTCCATTTTTCACCTTCCCTGCTCTGCAGTGACGGTGACTTCATGCGGGTGGAAGATCCATACCAAGCCAGTACACAGCCACTTGTTGCTGCAGCTGTCACTCTTCACCCATCATTGACTTTTAACCTGATGAGGTGGAAAGAAGGCACACCCACCCTGTTCCATCACCATGGTGATTTAGATTTTCTAATATTAAATTATACTCAGTGACGCCATCACTGGCCACCAGCATACCCAGTGACCTCACCAAACCACACCAAATATAATTCAAACCTCTGGAACAATGCTCATACTGAAACAGAACAAAAAAACAGCAGCTGGATCCAATTTTTTATGCATGCAGGACACACAGTTCATAGTTTTATTGTTCCAGAAGGCCAATGCTATGTTTACACAATGTCCTTTACTTGTGCATAGGCATTAAATTACACAGCCAAATCCTGGCACATGTGTATAAGTGTGTGACCCAGGGTGATTACTGCTATACACTCTTTTAGAAACAGTCATGGACACAGACGCGCCTATAATCCATACCTACTGAGGTTAATCTGCTCTTCAGATTATCCAACACCTGGTTCAACAGCATAGTGGAAAAAGCCAATATATCAGTGCAGTGGGAAGAGACAGAGCGAGTTTCTTTTCTTGACAATGGCAATAGTAATGGTAGAAGTATTTATATTCTTTACTTCAGTAAAAGTATTAAATTTACTCTGTCAAGTAAAAGTCACACATTTAGAATTTTATACACATATTTGCTGAGTTAGATGAGGAAATTGATACTACTCTCATGTCTGTGCAGTAAATATGAAGCTGACAGGTACGCCTATGTTAGTATAAAGGCTGGAAATATGGGAAAAAGCTAGCTATTTTATGATATGATATCTTTGCAGTGGTGCACTGGCAGTTGTGCAGTTTTTATACAATAACAAATCATATCTGACAGGCTGATCACATGTTTTGTGAAGCAACTAGGAACTAAAACTGCATAAAACTCAAGTACCTCACAATTATGCTTAAGTATTGTACTAAGTTACATTTCACCACTGGACCAGTCTGACAAGTCTGCATTTCATATAAAACATTTTATTTTTGTACATGTTACAATTTGTTGGTAGTAATTTACACAGCTGCACGGTATGATAACACTGTTAAAGTGGTGAAACAGTTATCAGTATAAAAAGTTGTTCATATATTGAAAGAGTTGAGACACACATGATTTACATCCTACAACTGTTAACGTCTTCAATGTTATTTACATGAGAGAACACTGTATGGGATGTTTGTCCAGGTGGCAGATGGAGGATGTTGACAAAAACTGAATGCAGACACAAAAAAGCATGCAAATAGAAATAAATTGGAATACGCAGATTGCAAAAGGCATGACATTGTGACAAGAGTCTGCTTCACCTGTGTTTTTTGCTTGTGTAGACCCCTAAAATAAGAGCAAAGGGCAAAAAGCGTGAAATGTAAACAAGTAGCTAGGACATGTTCTACGTGTCTAACTCTGACCTAGTGAGAGGACTGACCGCCACACTGTCCGACAACAAACAGAAACCTACAGATTGTAATCGGCTGCAGCTGTGAGGGTCCACTCAAGGGAGAACAAGGATCAAGCACGAGTCCAAGGAGGAACATGACAATACCAAAGAAAACACTGGAATTAGTCTGTCAGAAGTTCCAGATCGAGGAGCAGGATCATGTCCAAACAAGTAGTCACAGGGCAGATCTTTTTTTTAGGAATTGTTGGTAACCTCGACGTTCTTTCAGCAGGAGATGCAGCTTGAGGTTGTCTTTCCATAGAGCACATGCTGTTTATCAGCTTGCTTTTCCTGGTTCTCCTGTTCTTTCAGTTGCATTACATCTGAAAGCAGACCATTTGATCAAATCCCTGGGCCACTTGCCCCACAGCGTTTTTCCACTGAAACGTGTTTTCACTTATTTCTGGATCCCAGAGCTATAGAGGGCTCACGCTCTCTGCCTTTCTCCCATCACCACTGTTTTCACTTTATCATGTCTACCACGCCATACATTTACAAACATACAGCTGTTAAAAGGCAGAAAAATCACCTGCCAGTAGGAAAATAGCTGGTAAAACATTCAGATTGTGAAAAGCTGCTTTTACACTGATGAACAGTATAGTACGTACACTGACACTAAATTTGGCCTCCTTAAAGAATTAGAAATCAACGTTTTAGGAAATACTGCTGATTTGCTTTCTGGCAGAGTTTTAGAGTGGAAGATTGATGCCCTTTTCATACCTGTACATTTAATGTAGGGCTACAGCAGGCAGGAGTTTAGCGTAGCTTAGCACAAAGAGGTTAGCGCTTAGATAAAGGCTGCTTGTTGTAGCTTCTTATTTTACCTGACAGATATGAGTTCAATCGAACTCTCTGCCAGAAAGGGAATACACGTATTTCCCAAAATGTTAAACTATTCCTTTAATGTACAATAGTATATACAGAGTTGATCCATTGTAGTTGCTTTCAAATTGTAAAAATTAGTCATCATAGACCACTACATTTCAAAGAGTATTTAAAAGTAAGATAGCACCATTGACTAATAAAGAGCAGCTCTCTCGGTGCCTCTCTGAGAAGACCTAAAGAGTAAATTTGAGCTTTGTAGAGACAAAATAGTAGAGAACTATTTACAATAATATCTTAACTATCAAACATCCTAACACTATATACAACACTATAAGCAACACTATATACATATTCACAGTTTGGAGTTCTTCCCTTTAAGAATGGACAGATATGACTATGATTTCACTAAGCAAAAGTACCACTGTACACAATACTGTTAGGTGTCTGACAACATTTCAAGTAATAGGATGCGGTCCAGTTTTCCCCAAAGGGAGACGTCCAAGTAGATGAGCAGCAAACACGACCCTTGATGTCACAGCCAGCTCACCCAGTCAAGAGAAGGCACCGAGGAAGGAGGAAGAACAGTCTGCCCACACAGGCAGGGACATACGCAGACACAGAGAGGTTGATGTTGTGAATTGGTCTAGAAAATAAAGATCAGTGGTCTGAATGCAGTCCATCTTAAAAAGTCCAGATTCTGAGTGCCATGGTGAGCAAGTGGAGAGTCTTCACATGTTTCTGTGCAACAGAAAAACTGTCAGTCCACATTTTTAGACACCAAATATACACACTACACAGTTTTCTACTATCATATGTTTTTTAAGTTTATTCCCAACGTAGTCTCTTACTTCTAAGTGTCTAAAATGGTCTCGATTTAGCAAATTGAATTTGGTCTTGGAAACACCTTGTTCTATCTAATCCCATATATTAACCTTTGTAATATATTTATTGCTATTACATTACACTTTTCCACAATTTCCTTATTACAAGGTCTATATTAACTTCTGCTAATTCTGCTACATCTTGTGGTATACATATCCTTGCATTAAGTATTTTGCGCCATGGTATGGATCTTTAAGGGAATTATAATTTAAACTAATTAAAATTGAGGCCACACACACAGTCTTCAAGTGAAGAATAAATACCTTGTTCACAGGAGATTTTCATGTCTGTGCAGAGGAGCTCTCTCTGCAGGTATCCAGGACACTGTAGCACACACAAACAAACACAATTGATTTCATCTTTCTAGGCTAATTAGTTACTTCATTTACTGCACAAACAAGTACCCACAACACAGGTTTATCTAGCATGAAGGATCTCCATGGCACACAGAGCAGTCATCTACAGCCAGATACCACTTAAAAACAATCACCACTGTTTAACACAGGCACACTGCTACTGCCAGACTGCTGGCAGATGAAGGAATGTCTGTGTCTCATAATGGTTTCTGTCTCACTGTATCAGCTCTGGGCCTGGCTGGTGAAGATTTAAGAACGATAAATCTGTTTCCACACTGGTTTGGCATGGCTTGAACTCTTCATCTCCTCCAGCTCTCAACTAACAAACGAATCAGTACAATCTTGCCAGACTCCTGTATCTCAAACTCACTTCCCTTTTTCCTCATATCCTGATTTGTTTGGCCCATGTGTTTATCTCATTGCAGTATAGAAGGAAAAATGAGAGAGGCACTCACGCTTGATGCTGCCGTACAAAATCTGCAAACTGCCGGTCCTTAGCGTAGAGCTCGATAATGCGTATCCTGTCTTGGATTTCCTGCAGAAATACATGATATCATTAGGGAGGGAGCATTACATCACAGGCAGATAAACAGTAAACTGGACAGGCTGAAGCTCAATCAAAACCTGACATTTTACAAAAAAAAAGGTACTATGACTTTCCTATTTAAGCGGCAAAAGCCAGTTGGTGATGGAACAAGTTTACAACCTGAGATTTCCTAATTCAGATCCTTATCAGGTCAAATTTGCTCGTGGGAAATGAAAACGATGTGCCCTGCCTGGGTGATTACCGAACATCCAGATAGCCTTAAGCAAAGTACAGCTCTCACCTGCACTGGAGTACAACTGTATACATTTTTGTGTGTGAAATTTCAACGCACTCAGTGTACGTCCACATTAGGTTGGTTAAATTTTAAAAAACACATCTTTTCTCTCCCACAAAAAGGGAGCTTTTCCAAAACTATCTTCAGAAGGTGTAAATCTTAAAACGCCATTTTATTGCGGGGAAACAGAGCTTTTGCGAAAATATGACGTAAGCCAGTCCAGTGAGTGTCAGGGGTTGTGGGGCAGTAAAGTTAAGAAGAAGACTTTTAGTGGCATTTAACTGTCTCACCTATTTTAAATATGGATATACCCAATCACACTGACTGTCAGACAATATCTCAATAATAAAATAATGACTTTATCAGCACTGCAGCACAGCAACTCAGTATGACTGCTGCTTAACATCTCCTCTAAATCAACCAGTGGATAGTAGCCCCCACACACACCTCCTTTGTCAGTTCACTGTTCTCATAGATGTGTCGTATCTCCTCGCTGCTGAAGTCAGTGGAGGCCTCAGCACTGGCGCTACTGTACACAGGAGCTTCAGGATAGCGCCGGTAGTAGTGGCTGTAGCCTGTTGTGGCCTCACTCTCAAACATGGGGTTATACTTTGTCGCCCTCTCCAGAGATGGGAGGCTCTCTGCTCGCCTGCGGAGTAACAGACCAACAGAAATATTAGTCACAATGTAAAGGCAGGATGATAAATAAAGCAACACAACAGAAGCGAGAAGAGAAAACCAATGCAGTGAATAAGGCTTTAGCGTTCATTAACCTTTATTAACTTTGGATAAGTCCTTTCTCCCTCAGTCGGACTCCAGTCTGGAGTCCAGATTGTCATAAAGCCTATTGTGTTAGGTGTTTAAGGCTTTTTGGAAATAGCTCAGCAACGTATCTGATCAGTTAATTGGCTGAGGTTAACACTGTGTTTCTTCACACGCTGCTTTAGGAATCATGCCAGACAGACACATATACACACAGACAGATGGTGAACAGATACTGTGTCTCTTTGGGTCTGCAAAAGAGAGAAAAAGTGAAGAAAGGATCAAAGCAGGACAGGAGGAAAGAGACACCCAGGCAAAGGCCATTGCTGTAAGTCTAGAGGGGTGAGGGGATGGTGAAGTGGACGGTTTTGGCCGTCTAACTGAGGATACAGTCATGGGATGTCTCAACTTATTCTGTCCCCTCAAGAAAGTAACCAGGCTCCTTTAATCTAAAGAGGATTACGTGGAGGAGAGAAAACTTCAGACATACTAAATTTAAGTGTTACTGTTCACTATCAAACAGAAAAGCAAGTATTGTTTATTTTCAGGGGTAGAGTTAACAGCTTTTGCAGGCGGATAAAAAGGAATCTTACTGGGTAATTCTTCATATACTGTTTATTTTATTAGGCTTTACAGTATAACTCAATAATGTTTTTTCTTCCTAAGGCAACATGTTTTTTGGATGCAACTTTTTAATTGGCTAACAAGTGACACAGATTAGAAGGCTAGATATAAATCGTGTATGTGTCTCTCATCATCAAGGATGGCTAAAAAGTTTGGCCATATGGTACGTGAGTGGTTTCCTCACCGTATGGGGTCCTCCGACTCATCCTTGTCATACTGATCTCGTAACGTCCTGGCGAGGAAAAAGATGACTCCGGAGGCCACCAATAGGAATCCAGCTACGGAGGCAATCGCTATGCTGACCACCAGCGGCTCGGATACGTATTCCTCACAGTGCTCTCCTCTGTACCACCAATTCTCCCCGACGCGACACCTGAGATGACAACGGAAATTTGTCAGCAATGTTCCAAAATTATTTCCACACAGACTGGTGTAGTTTCCTTTTTAAAACTCACAGCACAGCAGAAGAACAAAATGTTACAGAGCATGCCCATCACTCTTCTTCTGTTTCTTATCCTCTGTTAAATGATCAAAGAATGTCAAAATGAGTGACTGAATCCTCAATCATGTTCGTATTTTGTCTTGACATAGTACATAACATGTCTACAATTATACAGTTCTGTAAGTGTCATTAAACCAGAAATGCCTTGTTTTGGATTAATTGTAATAATCCCCAAATGTTTGTTTCCTGTCGCCATGGAGCAATGAAATACTTTTGGTTGGACGGCGTGAAGTAAACAACAATCCAACAGCATCTGGAGCTGCCTGTATGTTTTATGCTGTGGTGGTGGGTGTGAAACAAAGGTTAGCACTCCTCTTGGCACAGAGTCTCCTGTCAGTCTGTTCACAATCATTCAATTTATAGCGCACCACATACAACCGTGTGAACAGAGCCAGGGGACATGTTTGTGTCCCTGATTTGGATTATCGGCATTTCATCTTACACACATTAACCCATGCAAATGTCTGTTTGGACATGATGGAAACACAAACACTGACAAAAACACACACAACAAAGTCTGTAAGTAAGCCTTTGAAATGTTGTACATAATAAAAGAAATAAAATATGGCTGTAACACTATATAATGAATAACATTTCACTCAACAAAAATGTGATAATTTGCATCCTGGGGCTTAAAAAATGGATCACAATATTAATCAAATCTTAGCAATTATGCCTTCCCAGATGGTACTCATTGTTTTCATTTATTTACAGTACATTTAATGCCAGAGGGCACGATTACATTAACATAGTAAACAGCCAAAGGTTTGAGTGCTGACTAAAAATGTTGACATGCTGATTATCTTTTTAACAAAGAACCCTCATCCAGGCCAAAAAATATAAATGTTTGAAGACGGTTAATTGGGGTATGGAGCCAACTAAGGTGTAAAACAAAAGCCCTATTGCATGGAGTTGGTTATGATTATAGTTCATTAGGCTAGAACACATGTTAAGCTTCCAAGAATGAGGAGCCAAATTAAAAAGAATGCTTTGGAACAAATGCTTGGAGTGCATTGGACATCTCTTGTATCCACATGATCAACTTCCAGCCAAGCAAACCAACTTTAAATATGGAAGAGGAAGAAGAATCTGGCCTTGTGCAGGATTTGAAAAGCTGTTGGGTTTTCTATGATGAAGCACTGGCTTTGTAACTTGCAAACTCAGACACTCTTTCTCACACACACGCAGATCACTTCTCCTAATCCCCACCCACCTGCAGATGGCTCCCTGGCCGGGGATGATGTCACACTTGCCGTCATTGAGGCAGAAGTCATTTCGCAACTCACAGATACTCTGACAGGGCAGGCTGTCCACGCTGAAGTAGCCAGCATTGCAGACACACTCCGCCTCCCCTGACCACTTGTTCACCTTACACTCCGCATACTCGTTACACGCCTGGAACTTACAGGGGTCGGCCTGGTCACCTGCAAAGGAAAGAACCAGGATTGGAGACAGGAATAAGCAGGTTGACTACAGGTTGTTCTTTTCATGCAGTGATCAGCATTTAAAAGAGGAGATATGCAAAAAAAAAATTCCAAAATGATATGAATACCTTTAAAAAAGGTAACACAGACTTATTCTGCAAATTTCCCAAAATGTCAAACTATTCTTTCAAATTACACCAAAAATAAACACAAAATTAAGTAAACTCAACAAACTGCAGCCCTAATGCATGTTGGGATCCAGTATTTTGTGTTAGCTATGACTCAGATTGATTATGACAGCTGAGTCATGACTGTTAACACAAGCATGAATCGATGATATCATGAATGGCCGATTACAAGCTAACTGATGTTCTCAGACACAGACGCTTGGAGATCGATACCACATGAGGAAATAAAAAATGTGCACAGAAAATGTCTTGCTGAGTCAATAACTGAGCCACCATTATCAGATACTAAGGTAATATAGTACACACGCTGCGTAAAACCAGAGCTGCACACAGTAATCAATCAAAGTGCAGTTAATGATATGTATTAACTGGGCTGCTGTCCAGGTAAGCCCTGATTATCTCATCACAGCTGAAGTGACTGTGACATTCGCCTCATGAGACCACAAAGTGTCACGACAGGGATTCAGAACCTGCTTTCCCAGGCCTTTTCACACACTAACATGTTTTTAATACTGACTCAGTGCCATTATTTTACAAAACAATGTTCTAAGATCACATCCACTATGGGAATAGTTCAAAGTTTGGGGAAATATGCTTTCTTGCATGGAGTTGGATGAAAAGAGTGAAGCTACTTTCATATCTGTACTTTCAATATGAAGCTGGAACCAGTAGCTGGTTAGCTTAGCTTAGCTTTTAGACTAGAAATAGAAGGAGAACAGTTAGCCTGACTACAAGCACCTCCAAATCTCACAAATTACCAAGCTATTTCATGTTTGTTTAAAACAACAGTTTGTGGTTTTACAGGAGGCTATGTGTGGTACTATTTCTTGGCTGGGCACAGTGACTTCCTGAGTTTTACAGGTGCTGGTTTTTGGATTTTGTAACATTTGGACAGCCTACCTGATTCCTCTTGTTTCCAGTCTGGACAGGCTAGCTGTTTCCTTGTTTCCTGCTGAGCTAACATAACTGTGTACTGGCTCTAGCTTCATATTAACCTTGCAGACCCAGGAGTAGTTAAATCCTCTAATCTAATTCTCAGCAAGGCAGCAAATAAGCTTGTTGAAAAAAACAGTTGATGCTATCACAGTTGTTTTGTTGTTGATAAAAGAACTCATAAAAACACTACAGTGCACATCAGAGAAAACCCACCCGACTCAACGTCCAGTGAGTACTTATCGATGGCCAGGTTCATGGTCTGGTAAGCTGTATTACAGAAGTCCTCCAAGATCAGATAGACTGTGGTGGTGACGCCTTGTTGTACGGGCTTGCCAAATTTCATCCGGCTGTTGACCACAATGCTCCCGTTCCTGAAGTTCAAGATCTCCAGGTTCTCAAAGTGACTCAGGTTGGACTGCAGGTAGGGCACAAGCTGGGAAAAGATTGAAAAATGTGCAGTTTGATGTTACAAACCAGAGGCTTTGATACAACAGTGGGGATACTGAGTAAATGTGAGAAGTTTACCAGCTCTAGGAAGCGTTGCTCCAAAGCTTTGTATTCTGGGGAGCTCTTGTTAAAGAGATCATCTGAGAAGATCATGTTGGTCACCCTCAGACTGAAGAACACCATCAGTGCTCGTCCAGGGTTCACAGGCATGGCGATACTTGCTTGGTCTGTGCCGTGTGCCACGCCAAATGGAAAGCCAGTGCTGCCCTCCTCTGTGTGGTTTATCAAACCAAAACCATAATGGATCACGTCAAAGCCCTGGTCCCCGATGGTGGCATCATCCAAGCCTTCATTAGTGGTCTGGATCTGGGGGATAAAAGAAAAAGTGGATTGATTTTGAGATGAGCCTTTAAACTTCTCAGTGGGGTACAACAGTGTTTATAGGTCTGCTTTTAAATCCCTACAAATTCAAAGTCAAACTTAAATAAAAGTTTTATTGATTTTTCTGCAGAGATAGTGCACCCCAGGCTACATTTATGTAGCACCTGAAAAATGACAGTCCTCATAACACTGGCTCTCAAACATCAAACACATCAACCATTGCCAAGGCAAACACTAACCCCAAAGGCCTGAAGTTTAGATGTTGTTTCCAAAGTTTTGTACAACAATGTTTTATCCTCATTTTAAAATGGAAAATATGCACATTAGCTGCAGTATCATTATAGTTTATATTTCTTTAAAGGAAAGTAAGACATTTCAAAAACTAAAATTGTGTATTTGTGATATTTGATGCTCTACTACTTTTCGCAACAATATCAACATCAATTATTTTCCTTTACCTCCACCAGTGAAGGGATGATGATGTCAGGTTGCCCCTCAATGGCAGGGTCTACATCAGAGATACGAGTGAAAGGCGACTCCCTCTCTGGAGACAGGGCAGTCGGTTGGGGAGGGCTCACAAAATCTGTCACTGGTGGTTTTGGTTCATCCTTGTTGACCAGTAAGATTTCATCCTCTGTAAGATCATTTGTCGAGATCTCTGGAGCTGCTGTGGTTTCTTCTTCTACAGCCGGAGCTTCGGGTAACGTCTCTTCCTTCACCTCTTGTCCCTCGCTCTCTTTTGCTTCCTCCATGCCAGCCTCTTCAAATACAGGTTCCTCAGGATAGGTCACCACCACATTAACGTCTTCGTATTCCACAGGCTGTTTGGAGTAAACTTCCTCATTATCAAGTGGAACATCTGTGAGATTTGGCTCTCCCTCTGTGACCTCCACAGAGTCTTCATCAAGAGGAAGCAGACCTGTTTCTGCCGCCTCCGGCTCTGATGCTTCACCCTCTACATCTACAGACTCAGGAGGTGGGACTAGGGCGGGCAGGCCTTCCTTTTCTGTGGTCTCAGCTGCAATTGTGGAGATCTCAAGCTCCTCTGGAATCTCTGCTTCATTCACAACAGCCTCATCCGGATGCTCGTCTTCCACAGTTGTAATAGTAGGTTCTTCTCCCACTGCCACAACATCAACTCCTACTGTTACAGCTTCAGACACAACATCTGCATTTATGGTGACATCTGCTGTTATCAGCCCATCTTCTGAACCAGTCTCCTCAAAAGACTCTTCTGCTGCTGCTGCTGCCGTGGGTGTATATGGCCGGAGCAGGTCCTCCAAGTCATCTGCGCCTGAACCAGAGGCCTCGACCTCCACTGGTGGTTCAGGCAGTGTGATACCCTCTGGCAGCTCAGGGGAGGGAAGCTCAGCTGGGAGCTCCTCTGGTGGAGGGTTTTCTACAGCAGGAGTCTGCACAGTGTCCTCCAGCAACAGACCCTCCTCTTCAAAGCCTGGAAAAACAAAGACAAGAAGAAACTCAACTCAATCTCTGTTGGTCTCCTTTGATAGAAACTAGCTACTTCTTTCCAGAGCCAACAGATCTATTCAACAAACTAGACAAAACTTTTGACATAATCGACAAAATGAGAATTGAGAGATTCAGAAAATAAGTAATTTCAGAGCAAACATAATGTAGTAAGGTTTTTATATATTGTGCTGGCGTGCATGCTTTAAATGCAGCCATCAGTGTAAATTGTCATGTAACCTGCAAACAAGGGAAATAATAATAGAAAAGGTAGATGTGAAAAAGAAAAGGCATCATAGGGGGATAAACTGCATGTGTGAATTCATGCTTGTGTTTAAAATAAACACTCACTGCCAGCTTCAGGTGCAGTCGTGGTCAGGACAGGAGCTGGAGGCACAACTGCACTCTCCTCTAGAACAATGATGTCCATATCTGCTGTCGCCACTGTGCTGGTTTCAAAGAGCTCGGACAGGACATCATCTCTGTTGACATCTTCAGCGTCCTCTTCTAGGATCACAACCTCTGGTTGCTCAGCAGCATCATCAATCTGCATCACAAACAGGCATTATGATCTAAACCCTTTCGTCACTATTTAACTGGAGTGTGTCATGCAACAGGAGCTTTGATAGGCCAGCTGTTTTGTGTTTACAGGTCAGACCATTCAGATCTCTTCCTGCTGCTGCTTTGTGGTTTGGACACAATTTTTACGAGGTACACTATGTATGTGTCTTTACATTAAAGTTATCACAAAACCTAAACTGTAAATAATAAAGTAAAAAACAAAACAAAACCATGAGATGGAATGTGACAGGCATCAAAAACTGTCTATCTACTATCAAAATTTAATTTTGCCCTTCTTTTTAAGATTTCAGTTATTATTTAGGTTTCAAATCTGTCAGAAGTGTGCTTTGTTGTAACTGTAACCCCACCCAGCAGTGATGTTACGGTGTACTGACACCCTAGATCTGTGGTTTCCTTAAGAAGGTGAGTTTTCAGATGGTTTTAGGATTTTTTTATACAATTCTGTTTGTATTGTGTATTTTTTATTTTTTAATAACCATACATTCTATCTAAGCAAACTATCAAAATACTGAGATATAGGCCTAGTGTGTATATTTTTTAGGTTTTCTGACACCTTAAAATCAAGAAGCTGTTGTCACTGTTGATTTGTGATTTAGTAGAATTCAGTTTTTCTATGACTAGCTTACTGCTAACCAAGCTAGACACTATACTAGCTGAGGCTAATGTGCTTTGTTTCTTCTTGACATGAAGCACAATGTAACTAATTAGCTTACATACTAGTCTATATTTTTGTGAATCCAGTTTCCTTGTTGCTGTGCAAAATAGTTTCTACAATACATTTGGTCTAACACTTGTTTTATAATCACTGTCATTGAATGTATTGTTCAATAGTGTTTTCACAGTTTCACAGTTACTTGCAATAAAAGTATGAAAGGCAATCCACTGTCTTCAAAAGATTTACTTTGAGTTTATGAATTATTCATGATCATATAAATGCAAATGTAATTAATAAATGCATGATAGATTTTTAAATGTATTAATGTAATGACTGACCTGTTAAATTCTCTAATTATATTTGTGGCATACTGCAGGCTCCATACTTCTAATAATGGAAAACTTAAAAAACAGTAGCTAAATCTAAAATGTTCCAAATCAGGGCAGCAAAGTGCTTCGGTGGCACAGTAGCTCTCTGCTTTTGCCTGTAAATCAATTACCGATGATAAGTTTGCCAAACTTTCCCAATTCATATAATGAGTCAAATTAATCACTTAGCGAGCTGAGCTATAAAGTGAACCAGCAGACACATTTAGTGCAACCCAAACTCTGATTACCATCAAACAGCAGTCAACCACAAGACAGCACATATAAAGACAGACTTTAGATGATATTACATGTCTGAATAAACTCATATGTGCTGTCTCTTTACTTGCTGTGGGGTGGTGCACTGTAGCCTTTGCCCCAGAATAGCAGTGGATTATTAAAGCAAGAGCCAAACTAATCCTCAAAGCCTCACTTGATCCTCGCTGGTGAGCTCATCCCCTACCTGCACTGGTGTGGTCTGGATACTATCACAAGCCAGTTACAGGTTATCACAACATCGCTCATACTGCAACTGTCAGCTTCCTTAAAACAAAACTGATTTATCAGCTGTGGAGCTCAAAACACCTGGATGGCCTGGAGAGAGATTGTTGTCATGATAGTTGTGGAGGCAACTTGTTACTCACCATGGCTCCGTCTGCAGTGTTGACAGACTCAGGGACCTCAGACACTGTGGAACCAGGGGAGAAACAAATATTAATACAAACTGACACAAAAAAGGCAAATGTGCCAAATAGCTAAAATAATCATGGCTGCAGGAGTCTACAGAACCCTTTTTACTATTACCACTTCAGCACAGCCTTCACTTTGACAGCATTACCTTCAGGGGTAAATATCTACAAATCAGCGCTAAAATCTGGAGTGAATATCAGCCGCTGTGCGCCAAGGCTATTACTGCATCACCACCAAAGAAGAAAAACAAAGCCAAGCTGTGCCTTTAACTTCCCCAGCCACACATGTCAGCCATATGAGAGTGTTTAGCCATCATTTCACATGTCCAAGAATATAATTAATGTGAGCATCAGATGGCATTCATCTCCAGGGGAGCTAACACAGTGAACTAATGACACGCATTCTCTCAAAAACATGAGCAGTGAGAAATCTCACAGGAGGAGAAGATGCTATAGACATTATCACATCCTTCAGTTTCTGGAGAAGGACCCTGGTCAGAAGTAGGAGGTTGCTAACCTACTTACTGACTGGCCATGTCTAATAGATGCAGTGTTTCAAATCTCCCCATGTGAGCAACTGTGTATGTGAAAAACATAAAACCTTTTGTGGAGGAGTGCAAAATCTGATGTACAGCACCAGTTGGGGCTTTAGACCACAAGTTTGAAAATGTAAAATATATCGAGGTTTGGACTTTGGAAGAAGTGAGCATAGCATCAGCCCACTCCTCATTCGCTGCTTGAGGCTAGCGGCTCATAAAACACCTGAATCTCCGACCAAACTGTCGGCGGTTGGGTTGCACTGTGGTTAATGCAGACACCAGGTTTCGACATCGAAGAAGAATATGTGGAATAGAAATGACGATATCTCTGGTTCTACAGCATCAAGTTATATTCTTATAAGACTTACAATCTCTTTAACCTGTCTGATTACGTTATAGGTGTGCAATCCTTAATAGGTAAATTACTCCTATAAAAGTTAACTGTAAGATGTTCTGGGTGTAAGCCAAAATAAAGGAGTGAAGTAAAGCAGAAAAAACCAGAGACCTCAGATTTCAAAAGTCCCCTTTGCTCAGTTCTCTTTTGCAGACCATGTAATGACAATTATTTAACTGTAGCACAGAATAAATACACAGTTCTTATTACTGATGATGTGTTATTTGTTCATTAAAAATGGCCCAGTTTTGAGCTGAAACTTCTTACAAATATGTCTCTGTCGTCTTTGACAGAAAGAGCAGACAAATAAGAAACAGATGAGACTATTAAAACCCTGGAATGTTTTCTCAAGTGGTGTAGCGTATGTTGTAATATCAATGCTGGGTCTACTGTGTCTCTATTTGATATGACATTTGGAGGTTTGCCCTGCACTGCATGCACTAGCTCTGCCAATGCGTTCCCAGTGACTTCACTGCCATGCCAATTAAATAAATATAATGGTGGCATGTGTGTGTTCTGTTACACTGCAGGGAATATCTTTAGGGAGCTCAGCAGTCACGCACTGGCCATCATCTTACCATTCTCCAGCTCGACGTTATGCAGGGCTTCGGTTACAAAGTTCTTGACCTCGCTGATGGTGTAGACCACCGTATAGCGCTCCATGACCTCGCGGTATGAATTTTCCACCAGGTTCGACTGCAAGGTCAGGTAGTCCAGTTGTTCAGTGCTCACTCCTGCTCCGTCCACCACAACTGTGACAGCATAGTCCACCACGACACCATCCAGCCTGAAGACATAAATATGTAGTGGTTACATCCAATCCACATACTGATTATCTTTTGCAGTGGAAGCATATTGTGATATACACTCCTCGGGCCACTTTAATAGGTACCTATACAGTTTCATGCAATGCAATGCAACAGATCTGCCAAATTCTTATTTTCCTACTGTTTTGCCCACCTCATTTAGAAATAAGAATATTAGAAAACACATCTCACTACATTGCAGTTGAGTTGAACCCCACTGCAACGAAACAATTGTAAATGTATAGTTGAATTAATACCTCTTTAACAGTGTAAATATTATCTTCGTGAAGGCAGAATTTATAGCTCAGCTGTTGTATATATAAAGTTTTACATAAAGTGAACCTAACAATGAGTGTAATTACATTGAAACTATGTCGCCAACATTAACAATTACAAGCAGATTTTAAGTTTAAATTAAAATTTTTAAGTAAAATGTGTTATTAACTAATGGTGTGAACAGCATTAGAACAGTGAAACACAGTTTATTGCATTGAATATCAATTAAATTATTTTTTGCATATATTTTGCATATACATCAAGATTGTTTTAAATATATATATATAAATATTTACTGTAGGGCCATTATGGTGCAAACATTACATTAAGCACACTGCAGAGTATATGTACATCGCCTCACATCCTTCCACAAGCTATAAATGAACATTGCGTGAGATTGTTTTGCCTACTGAAACTACTGTTTCCAAGGTAAAGAATAAACTTTCAAACTCAATTCTTATTCATATTGTGATTTTGATTTCACATCAGATACATTTCATATGCACATCAGCCATAATGCTGTTTTTCCATCTTCTGCGTCACTTCAAAAAATCAAGTGCCTTGCTTAAGGGCAACTTAATAGTTGTTAAGTGAGGGGAGAGGGTTTCTTTTTAATTTTCTGACCCAAAGTTGCTGAGGAAATTTACACTACTTCCTAAACTCCAACTAAACACCATCTTCTGTTGTTATTGTACACATATTTATGTATAAGAGAGTATAAAATAATGTCTTCTGGACGAAAGAGCAGTTCTCTAAGAGGATGAAAATCGCTTAGGCATTAGCGTGATTTAACGTCAAACCTGTTAAAAGAGTTGTAGAGCGCTTACAGTTGACTGATGACTCCAGTGATTTACTCCTTCTCGGAATGCAGGAGTGCGACTGTATAGGCCAAAAAACAGCCGAGTCAGCAGAATGATCAATATCATCATAATAAACATGGAAACCTCACAAGAGATTCCAGGCCCTGGAAAAAGCCATCTATCAGCCTTCATTTGACTACTGGAAGCCCTCCACTCTGACCTAGTTTGTTGGATTTCTGGCGGACAGCTGAGCATATGCCGGCCCACAGGCGACCACATTTAGGAGGAGATCCAATTTTTCCTCCTTTAGTTTCACACATTCACAGAGGCAGGCAGACAGAGATCTACTCCTGCTGTGCCCCGTTATCTGCAGTTAGCAGCAGCATGCAACATTCTTCACAACATCACTGTGAGAAGGTATAAATATATTTCTCAGTGTACTTAATGTATATATGTTTGCACAATTGTGGCCATATAGTATAAAAGTACAGTTAACCAAAAGAGCAGGACATGTGTCTAAAAACTCTTTTAAGGCGGAATGTAGTTGTACTTTACTTGGGTATTTCCATTCTCTCCTACTTTTATTCCACTATATTTCAGGATCAAATGTACTTTGCGTGATTGCTGTAGTGGGTTATTTTGCAGATTAATAATTTACATACAAAACAATGATCAGATACTAAATCATGATGAATTATTGAGATTAAACTGCCCAATACTAAATAAAGTTGTCAAACTGGCTCCAACTTGACCAGCTGCAACATTAAAATGTTTTAGAGGAGCTGGTGGGAGGTTTTAATTACTTTTGGTTAGAGCCAGGCTAACTGTTTCCCTCTTTTTCCAGTCTTTGTGCTAAGCTAAGCTAAACTAAGCTAAGCTAAGCAGCTGTTGGCTGCAGCCTTATATTTATGGTACAGGTGTGGTATTTCCCAGAATGTCAAACTATTCCTTAGAAATTTTAAATGCAAGACTTTTACCTGTAATGTAATGTATTCTTATACTGTGGTATTGCTACTTCTACTTAAGTAATGGATCTGAATACTTTTTCCACCACTGGTAGCAAGAGAAACAGTCATATCTATCTATTCACTAACTCTTCACCCTCCATTTACTTCTGTCTCTTTGCTCTTTTTCGTCTTCGCTCCCATGACACACACAGCATCTTTCCCTTTAACCCTCCTCCTGTCCAACCCCTTTACCACAGGTGGTAAAGCCCTGATAATCGCCTCTATAGGAGAGCACCTGCTCACTCCATTGGACCCATCACGATCCCACTTAACAGGTGAGTGACCCAACTAAGACCATTAACATAGGCAACTAGTGACACACATAACACGTGCCACGCTCACAGGTAAACACAGTGGGAGATGAAGGTGACGCCATACACGCTCACGCAGATCTAGCTAAGGAATGGTTGATTGGGATCTGTGGGCTTAAATACAAGACAAGGTGGGGATAACTAATACAAGGTCAAACTACCACGGCCTGTACTGATGACTCACCCTTGGGTGTCCTTTTGGGGTCTACGTGAAACAAGGAGTAAGGTGAAATTGTGTTAATGCAACAAGTTGAGTTTTGACCATATTGTGAGGAGCCAGGATTAAACCACTACAAAGAGACCAACCTGAAATCCAGCACAGACACACTCTTAAATCCAGGGAGCCCCTCCAAAGCAGCCTCTATCTGCAAGGACAAAAATGATCCAGCATCATAAACAAGCCTCAACTAGAGTTTGTTTCTTATTTTAAAGGGGTTACATCGAACTGGCTTGGTAAAATAAATCTGATTTATTGTTCCAAAAGGGCTCATTATGTTCAAAGTAGTTGAAAGGTCTTGAGTCTTTTGTGTTGTGGCCCACATCATTATCCTCAGGAGGTACACTACTGCACTGTGGTCAACTTCTTTTATTGGTCTACAGAGCTTTGCTTCTAGGCACTAAGAAAAAAACAACACATAAACTGTTCTACAGACTAAATCACCCAGTTTATTCTGATTATCCATCAGAGAAAGAGGATACAAAAAGGTCTCCAGAGGCTTTTGTCTCCTGGTTTGTCCTCCAATTCCCCCTTTTCTACAGACAGTTACTACCTCTGAGTCCCTGTCCTCCACACAGGCTTCTAATCTTCTCAAAGCACGTAAACTGGTGTGTACGCAGTGTGTGTGGGTACATAAGCGAAGGTACGCAGATTTTATGTGTATAGCAGATGTCCAGCGATAATAAAAATGGGTGAGCAATTACAAGAAATGACACCAAATCAAGTATGCGCTTATTATGTTGTTATTTACAAAGTATGTCTGTGTCTGTGTACCCTCCCACATTTGTGCGTCAAGCGGGTGCCAGGGAAATGTGCCTAAACAAAATTACTGCATTTTCAGAGTTCCTGTAAAAACCACTGAAGTTGCTTCCAAAGGCGAGTACCTGCACATACGTGTGCATGTGCAAAAGTTTATCTATTCCCAAGACACATCATAATGCTGTATTTTCAGCACATAGTTATTTCACCAAAACCAAATGTGTACCATAAAATCGGTGTTTTTGAACTCCTGCCTAACAGTTTGGGTTTAACTACTGCTGCTGTTAAAGTGTGCGTTATTAAAACTAACAATGCATCCATCACAGACCATAAACCAGGAGATATAGTCCAGTCTGCAGCCAAGATACAGTAGCACGAAGGGGAGTCGTAAAAAGAGACAGACAGAAGTTGGAGCTGGAGACGAACCTTTTCAGCAAGCTGTCTGCTGAGCGTTTGGTACTGGAGGCTGGCTGGATCGTTGAGGTTGTCGCTGTACTTCTCTCCGGTCAAGAGGATACTGAGCTCCACCACCTGCTCCAGCACAGCCGGGGTAGGAGGCTCCACAGCTATGTCATTGTCCAGCTGTGCAATAATAAAGAGTAATATAGTTAAGTGTATTATTAAAGCATTATAAATCCCAATATGTGAACGATATGTGTGTGCACTTACTGGATTCTCCTCTACTTCTGGGACAGTGACAGCTGCGTCCTCTGTGTCTTCTGGGTGGTTGAGGTCATGTGCAACAAAAAAAAAACAAAAAAAACTTACGTTGGTATATTTAAAGTGAATGTGAGCTTCAACCTTTGGCAAGTGCAGTGATTCCTGCTGGTTGTATGGATTAGACTGTCTTGACCCGGAGTACTTTCGAAATCACAGGCTTGCAGCCAAGCTCACTCCCCACACACACAGAGAAAGATTGGACTAACTTATTGCATAGAAAGACATAAAACAAAGCAAAACACTGAAACAACAATGCTCGAGCACAGGTACAGATATGGCAGGATGCTTATATGACAGTATAATGTCCTACAGCTAACAGTGTTGGTAACAGTGACACTAACCTAGCTCAGGAGCCGCCGCAGCCTCCGGTGTGTCTGTTGTCGGAGTGCTGTGAAACAGTAGAAGATTTTGCTGATATCATATTACCCCTACTTAATCAGAAATAAACAGCACACAGGCTTTTCAGGGTAATTCACACTGTAGGTAGAGATGGGTCTACAAATGGGATTTAAAGGATTTAAAGGATTTTTATTTTTAATCAACAAATCCTCTTAACAGTCCAAAATCAATAATGAATTTACTCTGCCAATTAGTACTGTCTTGTCTCAGCCAAAGCCTGATACAGCTAGCTGCCTCCATTGTCATTAAAAACACTGTTTTTATAACACTTAGACTAGACATTTTGAGAAATATGCCTATTCATGTTCTTTACGAGAGCTGGATGAGAAGAATGATATCACTCTGAAATTTGTATGCTGAATATGAAGCCACAACCAGCAACAGGTTATCTTAGCATAAAGACAAGGAACAGGGAAACAACTAGCTTGGCTCTGTCTGAAAGCCAGCACATCTAAAGCTCACCAATGATTAGCACAATGTAGCTCATTTGTTTAATCCATAAAAAAACAAAACAAAACTGAAGTTTTGCAGAGGTTACTGTGTCTGACTATTTCTTGAGCAGGAGCAGTGACTTCCCAGAGTCTTGCTGTCATTGTGAGGTTGCCAGGCAACAAGTGAGACCACCTTTGGACAGGCTAGGTGTTTCCCCCTACTTTCAGTCTTTATGCTAAGCTAAGCTAAGCTAACCAGTTGCTGGGTATGGCTGTATTTAGATATGCTATGTGTTAGGTTTGTTTATGTTGAAATTTTTTTTGAGGATGGCTAAAAGATATAGTCACATCCTAAGTTAGCTTAGCTAATGTTAGCAAAATGCTATCTAAATAGCTAGCTAATCTACATCTTACCTTATATATTGGATGTAACCCGCTAGCTAACGATTAATGTTGATTAGCTAGCTAATGATTGATGGTATCTTTTAAACATCTTAAAACATGGAATTATCTTTTGGACATAAAGAGCATAAAGAGCTAATCTAAGTACAGGAAAGAAGAAAATTGAACGAGGTTTGCTCAACTGTAATTGGAGCACAGAGCGAAAGGGGGCGGGGCTTAAGAGGGTTCAATTGCTTTAAAAGGCCCATACTGTTACTGGCTGACATGTTACGATGATCATGGCCAGTATAGTTTTATAACTTTATGAGCATGCACAGGGACACAGTTCAGTATTACTGAAGGAGAACAGACTACACTGACCAATGTGATGGAAGGAATAAATAAACTCAATGTGTATATATGTGGGTATAGAGCTTCTCTGCATGTTTATAATAAATGTTTAAAGGCATGAGCTATATCAGACTGTGGCTACATAGACACAAGTAAGCAGAATGAATTTATTATTTTCTTTAGTTGTTTTTTTTTTTGATGGAACTTAATACCACTGTTATCTTTTTAAGATTTTTCTTTTCAGAGAGAGGGCAAGCACACAGACGGCAGAGCTTGGATATTAGCATCCAAGTCTAAGACACACAGATAAAACAGGAAACAAATGAACATGAGACATCTGAACAGGTAAGGTTGAAGAGACTTGACAACCGTACCTGCACATATGTTGCCAGGACCTGGTGGGCTCACTACAGATAGTGGGAAGAATGACACATTTACAAAACACAGACTTAATGATGAGATCATATATTTATGATTGAAATAGTGAGCTAGTTGTGGAGGGAAGGAGGTGGAGGGTTTCTCTTACCTTTTCACACCAGGCCGTGACATTCTCTAGAAATAGAAAAAACATATGTTGTAAGCTACAGTGTCAGCCACCTGCAATATATTATGTTCACAGATGTTTTTTTTATTACACCATTACATATCCACAAACCTTTTTAACCAGAGCCTGGTGCTCCTCTGATTGGCTAAAGTAGGTGCCAATATCTTGTGCCGTGACTGTGCCCTCCTGGCACTGACTCATCCAGCTTTGGTACTCTTCTTGCTCTGGCAGGCGGTCCCAGAAGATCTTGAAAGCCTCCCATATGGTCTCCTGGCACACTGGTCAGACCAGAGAAAGACAACAGCCACTTAAAAAAGAAGCTTGCAGAACTTGCTAAGAAGTGTTTTCAAAAGTCTTTCCACTTCAATTCTTATCTCTATTTGTCTCTATACTTATTCTCGAGGTCTCTTATAGGTAACAAAGACCACACTCAGCACACTTAGCAGAGGAAAGAAATCATCTTTAATTCACCAATTACTTCATTAATTAATCTAAGACCTAGATGTTAATAACTGGAAGTTTTGAGACCCCTAATCTATCTCCATTGTCATGTTTACTTCAAGACATAACTCCTTTTCATGAGTCAGCCTGCTGGGCGCTGATCCAAAGTCAGTGCACAGACATATGCTCCGATCTTCTTCCCTAATCAACGCCGACTGTGAAGCCAAAGACACCAAATCACCTCCAAATCTAGCTTACATAACAAACCTCAAGTTTTCAACACCACAGAGAGTCACAGACTCTCTCTTGGCATCTACAAGCACTCGTTTGTCCAAGTCTAGCTGCCCAGGAGTTCATTGACTAAGCACCTTTATCTCTGCCCACTCACAGTGTTTCTCAAGTAATAAGGAGTCAAAGATGTTTCATCTCTGTTGAATATTTTGTTTCACAGCTCCCATCCACCTGTGGTAAACTGCAGGCCCCTTTGCATCTGTATCATGAGATGTCAATTCACCAAAATCACACAAAGAAATGTATTTGCTCATTTATTCCTAGAGCTATAAAGTAGAGGTGGCAGAAATATTTAAATTATTTACTTTAGTAAAAGAAGAAATATTGCAATGTAAAATGCAAAGCAAAATGTACCAGTGTGTCGGATTTTGTGGCATCTACCGGTATAGTTGCAGATTACAAGGCCCTTGCCTCACCCTCCAGTTACAAATGTGTCGGAGAAACTACAGTGGCTACGAAACTAACGAAAAACACAAAAGGCCCTATCTAGAGCCAGTGTTTGGTTTGTCAACATGGCGGCTGCCGTGAAAGAGGACCCACTCCCTCTGTAGATAAAATTGGCTCATTCTAGGTAACAAAAACACAACTATTACTGTATTCAGATGATTATACACGAATGAAAACATACCTAATATTATANNAATGTTACACGCTGGACCTTTAATGTGTCAAAAGTAAAACTACTATAAAGAAATAAAGAAAAATGACTCCCATGAGTGTTTTATTATTATATTCTATTAGTGGTTAAATATTACTGACATTTTACTGTTGTATTTGGCAACGTTGGAACTAATTTCAACTATTTTACATACAGTTAGATGGTTTCTGCTGCTAATCAAGTACTGTGAAAGTGAAGGAAATTTAGTTTGTTAAACAGTCTTTGAAACAGTGCCACTTTAACACTAAGAGAGATTTAAAGGGGAACCATTGATTTTACACATCAAAGTCTGTTAACAGGTCTTAGGGGTACTGCTGCATATGTGAAAAACATTGTATAAAGACTTTTGTGGCTCCAGAGGGAGCTGTATGAAATCTGAACGTCACTTGAGTCCGTATTGGTTGGGCCTGAAGACTACTAGTTTGAAAATGAAAAGAAAAGTCTTTAGAAACAAGTAAGCTTAGCAGGCCTCTTTAGCCCACTCCTCATCTCCATTTGACGTTAGAGGATTAGCCGCTACAAGCAAAAACACATGAATCCCCAACCAAACTGTCGGGGGTTGCATTGGCGTAAAGTGGGCAATTTTGACAATTCTGTCTGATATCAGACAAGAAAAACTTTTTTTGTGTGTCTGATAATGTGCAATGCTAAATTGTTCTCTATTACTATTTTAAGGGTAGATATCTCAAAGCATAGCCACATAAAAACAGGATTATCTGAGCAGATGCCAAAAGGGTAAGTGAGCAAATGCTTTTTGGACTGACTGACAACCTGAAGTAGACCACAGTCTGTTAGAACGCAAATCTCATAAGGCCTAATTGCAACTGGTGTCCACACAGATGTCTGCTTGACCCAGGTGAATCCCTTGGTGTAAATGCGGCAAAGGTTAACATTCTTGCCTACTGGACGAGTCCTTTCTTGCACATTGGGGACACAGACAGGACAGTGGGGACAATCTCACAAAATCAGTTTCTTGTTGTTATTGCTGAGGGTTGTGTGTCCTCACCCATTATCTGACCCAACAAAGACATTGCCAATATCTATTAATCTACTCTTATTTATGTTCAATCTTACCTCTGAGATGAAAGTAGCTCAGATGGTTTGCAACAATCTGCGGAGCGGTCTCTTGTGCACAAAGTTTGACTCCACTTGGGAAAAGGATGTTGCGTTTCCGTCGAGAGAGAACTGCTTTGTGAGATACCTTTACATCAGATAGACGAACAACACCTGGAAACTCCACAGGCTCCTGACTATAAGGCAGACTCAGGTAACCCATAGAGGAACCTTCCAGTGTTGCATCTAGGATACCGCAAAGAAAAAAAAACCATTAAGACTTAACATCTTTCTTATCTTTGAGTAGTGAGCAAGAAGTGTGTAAATTAACTACAACACATACCTGTCCTTATGTCCAAAAATACAACCACAAAACTAAATACGACAGAGTAGAAAACACATCTCCAAGATACGATGCTCATGTTAAATCCGTGATTGTGTTCAACTCCGTCGGCTTGGAAAAGCATCAAGTAGATATGTTCTCCTTCTCAAGTCATGGAACAGCAACGTGAACAGCTTCTTACAAGTTTGCATAGTTCAGAAGTCTCCAGACGCAGAAAAATAACAGAAGCCCCTACAGAAATCATTTGACGACACTATGACACACTGGCTTCCTGCTGAAGAGAGGTGTGTCCCATGGTGTGGAGAGGACAGCTCCTGGCTCAGGTAGATAGGCAGATGGCTCCTGGAGAGTAGGGGATTTTTTAATGCTTGCTAATCCTGTTTGCTCTAAGCCTTTTAGAAGAGCTCGCCAAGAAGTTACTGGAGCAACACTGGGAAGGGAGGGCACTTAGTGTGGAGGAAACGTGGCCGGAGAGGAGGTAACAAAGGCCACAGAATCAACAGCGAGCAGGTAGATGCATTAATACATACAGATATTGTTGTAGTTTATTTAGTCGGGATTTAAATGTTTTCTGCAACACTCAGCTGAGCAAATGTTTGCCAGTGAAATAAAATTTGAGTCGAAGGACAGACCCTTTTACTGTTAAAGCACCCTGCCATCCAATCAGGCAAATGGCATTAAACACATCCAGCCTTTGGAGATCACAATGGCTGTTCTGCATCTGCTGCGCTAAATGAAATCCAAAGCCAACAGGATCATATAACGGAAAGTGCTGATCAGACAGTTGCAGTTTCTAGTCGAAGAACTGTGTCACTTCAGATAACGTTCTATAATCTAGAAAGAAGCTCCTTACAAATAATAAATAATCCCCCCTCCCCACCCACTCCCACCCAAAAAACACAGTGATTATGTGTCAGGTTGTTCCAGCAGCTAAGGAGCAGCAACTGAAATCCTCTCAGTATGTATATATTGACAGCAGTGAGAGTCATGGGCTTAGTCTGGACTCGACCTTTAACCCCAAACTCTAGGTATGGGGTTTATCCTGCTTTTAAAAGGGAAACCATCCTCTTCTTATCGTTAAGTAGCTGCATTACGTATGTGAAAAGAAAATAGGAGAGAGTAATGAGGGATAACAAACTTACGGTTCAGTGAGCCAGTGCATTAATTTTACATCTCACCTATGTTATCCTCAATGTGGCGACATTAGCATGCCAACGAGCTCAAAATGACAAATCCCATAGTGATGTTTAGCAGGTGTGTTTACCATGTTCACCATTATAATCAAGTGTTTTAGCATCCTATCATCTGGTAATTAGCACCAAATACACAGTACAACTGTGGCTGCAAAGTATCATTTTTAAAATTTTAATTTTGACGAGATGGTGGTGCTCGGTCAAAAGCAAGAGAATAAACTAATTCACAAATATCACCCGCATGGCCGTACTGCAGGAAGGTTAAGGAGATCACCAAAGTAATTATGATTTATCATCTGGGAACCTTCCATATCTGTATCAAATCCATCCAGTAAAATAGTTGGACCAAAGTGGTGGACCGACAGACATCGCCATAGAGCCAAGCTGCTAACATGGATAAAGAGTAATCAGGGCATACACAGCATTTTTGAACCACAGATAAAAACCTGAAACTTCAGGAACAGTTGCAAATTGTTTCATAAGGCTTTCTGCGTCAGGGTCAGAATTCATCAATAAAACAATTATTTTAAAATGTCTCTTAAATGCTTCAAAGGCAGAAGTGATCAGTTTGACTGGCCTAATGGCACTGTTGATGGTGAAGGAATCTGGCCAAACACCAGGTCATAGCAGTGGCTGTACCAATGTTTTACTCTGTAAGCTCCAAAGTGTGCCTGATCCTATACCCTTAGATCGTGGACAGCCAGCAGGGGAGCCAAGTAGGCCTAGAGTACAGTGGGTTTTACTACTGTACGAGAGATTTTCCTGATGCAATGAGACACATTCCTCTGCTTCTAATAGTACAATGTCAAACAAAGAGTATAAACAATACTGTGTGCAGACAGAGGACAGGGTTAGCTGTGCATAAACATTTGTAATAAACTGGCAACTGAGTGTAAATGTTGAGCACACAGAATGGCTGCAGCACACTGCCATACAAAATGCGAGGGGGGGATTACTTGGAGTCAGACTGTGAGGGGATCTGACAGACTGAGACAGTAAATACACCTAAGCTGACCGTGTAACTCTCCTAATAGTTTACACTGGAAAGCATTGTAACGTACTGTAGAGGCATTTGCAAAGGAAGCCTTTTGGCCTGAGAAGAACAAAGTTGGCTCTTCTGGTCAAAAGGAGAATTAGAAACAGTAATAGAAAAAAGGTTTGAGAACAGGAGCCAAAGAAAACTTCTAATAAATAAAAAGGAATAAATCAACTCATTTACAACACAGACATTCAGACTCTGTGTGTTACCAACCTCTAATCCTCATCTTGTTATAAAAACCATTTAAGACACGAGGTCAAGACTCAGGATAACATTTAAAATATTGTCCAGTTGGCATTTGTCATATAATACCTCAGGAAAACACACATTTCTTTAATGGAAATATCTCAGCTTGTGTTCCAGATGACAGAAAAAGTAGAAAAACAAAAAACAACAGTATAACAACAATTTGGTCTACAAGTTTTAATACACAATTGAAACCAAAGATATTTTGGGACCGGCTTCTATATATTCATCCAACACAAATGTCTTAAAAAAACATGTCTTCGAGGACTTCAAAGTGTTAAAGGAGGCAAACATCTGAACAAAAGGGAAAAAAACTACTAGACTATCCAGTCTGTTGAGAAGAACTTAGGCAACAGCAGTGATGGACTGGGACGTCTCTTAGGTCTGAATTAAGTGGGTTTGTGTTTGGCATAATACTGTTACACATGCTAATGTATGTGCACCCCTGAACTTCTTGCAAGTCTGGATAAATAAATGGAAATGTCCAAGATACAAAATAACCTCCATGGCACATCAGTATTCAGAATATATGCAAACTAACATCACACAGTAATCTGCACTGATAGTCTGAAATCCCAATTTTGTCTAATTTTGCCCATTTGTGTAGGTGAAGTTGACATCGGGGACCATTACTTTGCCCCAGCATGATTTGAGGGTGCATGATGGATTGCGGTATAAAAGGGTGTCACAGATATATGGTAACATACAACAGTTCGATTCTTAAAAAGAGGTAAGTGGACAAGCCTAGCTCAGGCGTAGACAACCTGCGCCTGTGGAGCCACATGCAGCTCTTTAGCCCCTCTCCAGTGGCTCCTTTGACAAATAATCATATGGACATGAATAACTTTTATCTTTTAACATTTTCATTCATCATTGTCATACACCTAAAGTAATTCTTACATTGTCAAATCGTAAAAATGTTTAGCCATTACACACCAAATAAAAAAAGATTGTTTCAACATTTCGGCAACTAAAACGTGCGTCGTATGTTACATCCTGACCTTTTCCTCTGTATTTTGCCGAACCTCAATAGTGGTGGATACTAGTCTCTCTTGCTAGGCTAACTATGGATTCCAAATACAAAAAACAAATCTGAGGAAAATAAAGAATGTAATAGTGCATGGACAGATCTGTTTGCTTTTACCACCAATGCTGCTGGCATAATTAACATTATAAGGCTCAAATATGCTCTGTGGCTCCAGACAAATTTTTCTTTGTTTTTGGAAAATGGCTCTTAATAGTAAAGGTTGCTGACCCCTGGCCCAGCTTACTGTCATCTATAGACAGCATCGTGTTTCCTATCTAGCACTGGGAGGCTAACAGGATAACTGAGTGAGGCACTGAGTGACTGAAACAGTAACATTTTTCTAGTTCCATGTATCCGACAAAGGGCAAAAGATGGAATTGCTGCTTCATGTTGGGATTACAGTTCCTGAGGCGTCAATGGCATGTAATCTTATAATGAAATTCAGAAAGGACACTGCAACGTATTTTATACTATGCCAGGAAATCAGGGGAATTCAGTCCATTCAGTAAAAAAAAAAAAAACTGTTCACAATTTGCTGTACAAACTAGGTTTAACCATTGCTACACAATTTTTAGTTTGACTTGTGAATCTACATAAAAAATTATTATTTTTTTAATAAAATATCTTGCAGCATAAAAACAATCAGTAAAAAGTTATGGGGTGTACAAACATTATCATGTCTACATACAATCTACCTTAAAACTCATTCTGGTTGGATGAACTACCTGTTTATTTTAAATTATTTGATGCCTTCATGTTCACTCACAGGACCCACAGATAGTCTACAAAGTTTACATGTTCTGTTCAAGTTAATGCATTAAACAATTACAGCATCTAATTTAAAGGAAATATTTTCAGTTCAAACTGAAGTGTCCGTTGCTCAGTATGAGCAGTGATAATATATTGGCTACAGGAATGTGATGCACTGCAGAGCTGCTTCTCGTGTCTATCTGTTACTATCCAGGTTTTGATGTCGGTAAAGGTTTAGTACCAGATCTCTGATTTCGTCTCGTTTCCTCCGCACCTGCTGCCGTGGAAACCAACGTTCTAGTTGTAGAGGGAGGTCAAAGTGCACCACAGGGTCCTGAGAGCAGAAGCAGAAGAAATTTTCCGTTACTGTGTACATGCCTCAAAAACCTTTTAAATGTCTCACTGAGTTTTAATTTCAATGTGACAATTTAGAGCTGTTGCTCATTGAATGTTAAATGGCCAGACTATGTGAGATGCTGCCAAGTTCTTTACCTTCAAAAAACTCTCGACATACTGCAGCAGGTAGAGGCCGCAGTCACTGCTGTTGTCCTGAAGGGGAACTTGGCAGTGTGAGCTCTGCATCTGATCAGGACTAAAGTCCCTTGACGAACCGCGACGGACTTCCCATTCTGACTCTAAGTAGCTGAGGGACAAACACGCATTATCTTACAAACATTTCTAAACACAGGCATGCAGCTACAGACATACGGATTCAAAGTGCCACACTTACTCCCGTAAGAGTTTGAAGACTCGCTCATGAAGGGAACGTTTGAGGGAATCCATGACAAGAATACACGGCCTACGGAGAGGAGAGGCATGTCTGTTATACAATATTCAAATCCATATTAGTTATTACCTACATTGTTTCACGTGTACAGGGTAGTGTGCATGCAACAAAGCAGACCACCTGTGTAATGGCATACTCACCTCTTGCAAACTGTTTTCTTCTGGTAGGTCTGCTCAGTGCAGGTCTACAAACAAAAAGGAAAATAATCAGACCTCCAGATTTGGAAGAAAACTCTCAAAAATTCTGTCTGTGTGAAAGAAATAATAATGTTATTCCAAGTAAGCAAAGTATAGAATTTGTTCTTACCACTGGGCCAGGTTTTGGATCTTTAGTGGGTTCTTCTTGACTGTTTCCTAAAACACATAAAACACATAAAACACATAAAACATACCATTACCGTTCAGCTTTGCAACCACAACATAAATAATTCAATTGCTTACCAAAGAAGGCATCTATCATTTAGCCAAACATACCAGTCTCTGTGTCCACATGGTCACTGTGATTTACTGTAGGTGGTTTCTCATTGTTATCATTTTGGCTTTTAGCCGCCACTTGATCCTGTATCTCCCCAGTCTGTGAGTTGGGACCATTCCAGGCCTCAGATTTTGGCTCATCCAGTCCCGGAAAGCAAATGACAACTAAATACCAATGAGCCCTAAACAGACAACAGAGAAATGTGATATATAATGTGATATACCCAATAATACAATGCAAATACACTTCTTCATGTGTTTAACTCACTCCTGATTGACAGGCACAAACAGGAAGTCCTTTTTGAAGATGTCTACATGTCGTGTCCACGTCTTCACACGTTGGTGCCGCCTCTGCCTCTGACAGCTGAGGTGACAAAAATAAAAACAGAGACACAACTTTTAAGTGTTTCACATGAACATGAACACACTTGAGAGTATTGCAGCAGTAAGCAGTGTAAGGCCCTGAGGGGAAATGTGCAGTCATCGCACTGCTATGTTAGTTTGTAACGCTTCCATTTTGATACTTCGCTGTTAGGCTGATAATGTATAAAACATGAGAAGAAAAGAGCTTTTGTCAAGGGAGTAAGGCTGTGGCTACTTCCTGGAAGTAGTACATATCAGTGCACACATAGAACATACCAAAATCTGAAATGTCTCAATAGTAAACATTTGTTTTTTGGTTTATATTATGCCGGCACTACTTACGAGTCACTGGTGCCACCTTCACTGGCATTGTCCCTCCGTGTCAGCTGCTTGTAGAAGAAGCTACTGAAGATGTGTGAGCGCTCGGCCACAGCAGCAGAGGCCTTATGGAGGAGGTATCTGGTTCCAATAACACATCAACGCAATCAATTCAAAGGCTCTCTGCAAACTGTGAGGAGCCAAAGTAAATTTGAAGCTTTTTGTTTGAAAATGTCTTACTTACTTGAGGTAAAAGTCAATGATAACATCATTGAGGAACTGCCCACTGTCAAGGCACTGCAGGTCCTCCATTGTAACAGTTATTCCTCCTTTCAATGGTGGAGGAGGAAACTGGATCAACCTAAGCAGAGGCAGAAAGAAAGATTTTAATATGATTATCTGCAGATGTAGTTAGACAGTTAAGTTGTAACAGTTAATATAAGCAGATATGCAATTGGTCCCCAAAAAGCCTAAAATTCAGATTTTTACTTTTTAAGACCCCGCAGACACAGATGGGGACACAGGTTTGCCAACAAGAACTGGCATTAGAATGATATTCTGTATCTGCAAATACACTGAGGTACGTAGTCAAAATCGAGAGAGAAAACCTTGGATCGGTGCATCCACAGCTTCTATTATATTTTCATACCTACGACTGAACAACACTGTCTACAAGAATCTTGCATGAGAAGCTGCACATGGGATAATGTAGGTTACTTGCCTGTGGGCTAGGCCCTGATGTTTATATTTAATCCAGCTGGAGTCTGGTTTACACAGGGACACAGAGTAGGATCCTTTGGTTCTACGATGGCACACTGTGTATACAGGAGCGGGTTCCTCCTTTTTCTTCTGTGGGAGGAAATTTATACCATAGCAGCAAATTTTACATTGTAATCATTTACCTTTGTAAAGGTCAATAGAAGAGTGAAATATCCCATAGAGGATGGGGACCACTCCCAACCAGGGAGTCAGGACCCCCGCAAGGAGATGAGAAATAAATCTGAGGGGTCACAAGATGATTGAACAAGTAATGCTTATTTTTCCAGACTTTACTCTAATTTTTTCTTTTGATTTTGTGTTTTTAGAACAAAAGGCCTTTACTCACTAAGAGGTGTTGTATATTTCTTTTGGAACGGTTGTTTGTCAGTAGTACTTTCACACAAAATGCCGATATTACATAGATAAATAGATACTTTATTTATCCCGAGGGAAATTCAAGAATAGCAGAAAAGCAAGTGAAAAAGGCATCAACCGATCACAATGTGCAGAACAGTCATCACATCACAACTCATGGCGGACCTGTTTGTTTGTTTGTTTGTCATAAACCAGACTGGAGCCCCGGGACAAGCAGCTGAGATGAACCCAGTGAGTATGATTTCTCTATCTGCAAGCCGTTCAGTGCTGCAGTGTGACCCCCAGGTGACGCTAATTTGCTAAATCACTACCTGTATGAATAGTTCTGATGAAACATATTCACAGACAAGTATTTCACATTTTCATGTTGTTTATTTGTCAGGTCCCCCAGTGTGTTGAGGCCCTAAATGATTTAAATATAGCAAAGAAAATCACTCTGATTTAACTAGTCAAAATCAGTAAACATACAACCTCTGATGAGGTAGATGCTGCTATTTTAAGAGGTCACGAGCCAAAACAACTTACCTCAGAGGGATGCTCGAGCTCCACTGGTTTGAGTGGTGTCTCTGTGTCTCGTTCTATCGCTGTCTCCGGCTCCAGTATTGTCTCTTTCTGTGTGGTGTTTTTGTCTGTATCAGAATGTGGACCATCCTGGTCTGTGTTAAGTCTAGGTTCAGTGCTCCCCAGGCCAAACAGGAACAGCAGGTGAGAGTCCAGTCCAGTTTTTCTAATCAGCTCTATGCACTGGCCCACAGAAAGAATAGGAGTGTGGATGTCGTCCAAGCTACTAACTCTGTCTGCATCATGAGAAACAATGGATTTTTCATTTGCAAGACTTTGGATACAGTCAATGTCCAACAAGGAGCGCAATAAAGCCCCCTCCATTCCCTCCAGAGGTTCTCTCAGGGTCAGCAGGATGAACGGGCTCACCTTGCCTTTTAAAATAAAGAAATAACAAATATTATCTAGTATGCACATTTACATTAAGAATAGTGTGACATATCAAACATTGGTGACGATGATATCGGAGGTAAAAAAAAACAACTAAACTAAAAAACAGGAAACACTACAGCTACAGACTCCAAGCGTACTCTGAACTGGTATCTACAGAGTAAGCGTTCTCACCAGTGTTCGTGGGACCATCTTGTTTGACCCCCAGCTTGAGGAGGTCCTGCTGTACAGCAGCTGCAGCAGTTTCTGACACACAAAACAGAAGGATAGCGCGAGGGGAAGGCTCCTCGTCAGTCTTAAAGTGAAGCTTCTGGGCCTCCAGGTCCTGCAGCTCCCAAACTCCGTACCTCTGCAGCTCTTTACGCTCAATGGTTAACATTACCCTCACCTGTTCACTCGTGTCTGGGGACAAGAAGCGGCCAGGTTAGCTTAGCAGCTCTCAGTGTTGATATCAAACAATGAATACTGCTGCGGCTCAACACCCTGGATAATGAATGAGCTTATAGCTGTGCAAAGGGCTGTCATCTGTTGATTGACATTCCTTACTTTTTGTTTTAGTGTAATAGAGCACATATTTGAAAACAAGACTAGGATTATACAGCTTTGCTAGAATCCATATGGCCATGCTGCTAACATATGGAGCTAAAATAGTTAACAATATCCAAAAGTTGGATTGCAGAACTGGCTACATCCTGTATAGCTTTTTGCAGGCTAGGCTCAAGGCTGAACTAATTCTTGCATTCAAGGTTATTTAGTCATAATTTGTTTTTCAGAAACAAAATTGTACTTGCTAGAAAATGTCACAAGACAGTTGTTTGGTGTGTCCCAAATTTTATTGAAGAAACATATTTGTTGCACACGGCCAAGATCAAATTTCAAGAAATAACCACCTTAGTTCCCTGAAGGGGAGATTTCACAGGCTCAGAGGTGAAAGTGTACTAGAGCCTTGAGGGTCTAATCCAGGAAACACACACACCATCTAAAATAGACCACAAAGCTGTGACTGGATGGTGTGTAGACAGCATGACCAAAACAAGATGAGATGGGTCTGACTTTATACAGCCAAGACCAAAGGTCATAGGCAGGCCACAGCTTCTCTACAAAGACTGTGGTATATAGTCAAAAAGCAAAAGAAAATATTCACAGCATTACCTTTCAGTGGGATGATGATTTTTTGGTCTGCCATCTATGAAAGGAGAATAACAATGTGTTACACTTGCTGAATGTGATGCCAGCAGCAAAATGCATGTATTTATGGGTTATACCATTAAGTCTCCATTCGATTTCCCTTGGAAACCTCCACAGTGCAAAGCGGAGAAGGCCACACTCACACAGTAGTCTACACTAGGGATGAGAGAAACCTCCACCGGAGGATTCTCTACAACTACATGCAACACCTGCAACACATCAACATATGCAGTTTAAAGAAAATGGTGCAAACAGGGTGAAAGGTCAACAGTAAGGCAGGTACACACAACAGTATCACACTATAACAGTACAATAACCTCCATACTACAATGAGACATAGCTGTTAGGTCAAGCAATTTAGTTGAAAGCAATATTACAACAGAAATCATGTTAATTTCAATATTTTAAACCCACTATGTGCAAGATTGGAAAATGTTCTGCTATGGCGCCATCTAGTGGAAGTATTAAGAATAACAACAGTTGACAGCAATCCACACTGCTGCTTTTTTGGTATAATCAAAGTATGTTGTTATCAAAACATCTCTCTCAAGAATATCTTCTGGGGGTAAAATGATCTGAACAGTACATTACAACAGGTACATTTTCTATTTTGTAAATGGATCCCATTGTAAAATAAAGCTTGTATGAAGCTCCTGTTAGCTCAAGCTTTCTCTGCCCCTGCAACATGTTTTTTTGTTTCCAAATACAGCTACGTTTTAAAACTGTTAACCGTGGGTCTAAAATGTGGGGTTCTGGGGGGCACTATGCTACAAATATGCTGGCTCTATAACCAAGAAATGCAACTACTTTTAGAGTTTGCTTGAATTAGACGAGAATAATCAGAATGTTCCATTTACTATATCCTAAAATCCATGTCTGCTCAGATATAAGACTAAGTTGTCAAACAGAACCATTCTTGATCCTTTTCTGAAATACGTGTCTGTTGTAATGAAGAGGTATGGATATAAATATAGTACAGGGACACATTATGCCAACCTGCATGTCCTCTATGTGAGAAGCTTCTTGCTGTTTGGCCACAGCTTTTGGGGATTGTGCATGTATTACTGCTTCTTCTACAGTGACCAGAGTACGGAGCGCTGGGCTGCAGGGCTGAGGAACGTCACAGCTCTCCTCATCGTCACTGGACAGCACAACTGAAATACAAGCATGACAAACAGATCAGGCCCAGTGTGAATTTTTCTTGGGAATTATTGTGCTATCTTACTGCTCTCAAAGACACGCACACTCCCAAGCACAAACATGCCCTTAATTGGCACTGCATGAAGGAGGTGTAATGGGCTTTGAGGTAGAGCAAGGACAGCAGTAATCCTGGAAAAGACACGTGAGTAGGACAAAAAGAGGAAACCCAGTAGCTACTAAGATGCTGCGCACACACACACGCAGCCAAAAAAACAAGAAGGTCCAAGACAAAACAACAAAATACCTCACAAATGATTGTGGTCAATGTCATGAACATAATGCTTGAGCCACATAGCAGAGGAAAATACACCCAGTTGCCAGTTTATTTGGTACACCTTGTTAAAAGTATACAACCAGCAAAATGGTATAAAGCTGGCAGTAACTGTTTCTTGAGTTCCCTCATAAATAAACGTTTCAGCAGTAGAATGAAGCTATCAGATTTAAAAGCTTTTCTGGCTTCACTCGGCCTGTGTTGGTGTACTCACTGGGTTCAGAGGGGCTTCTTTTGGTTGTGCTGTCCTGGCTAGACAATATACTTTGTCTGGGAGTACCAATAAAGTCTCTGGCCTCCAAAGTAGGACTGATGATTGGGACCAGAGCTTCTGTTGGATCATCTGCTCCAACAGTGAACTGTACAATGCTACGATCGAGGCTCTCCAAATCCCCGTCTTCTCCACTTTCTTCCAGGCAAAAACCCGTCAGGGCTGGTCTTCCATCTCTTCCGTCTTCTCCAGTGAGGCGAAGTACACTCTCACGGTGGCGTTTGGGGCTGCCTGTTCCGTTACACTGGGCCCCTGCATCCTTTCTTTTCCTCTTCTGTTAAGACAGCACATAACACATCACCTGTGTGAGCTAAGCAGACAACTCACGCTGCTACAGCACCGATTTGGGCCATGTCCCATGTTCAACTGCAGGGCGGTCTTTATAGATCTGACATTATCATTTTTCACATGGAATACAGAACATTACTGGTTTTGTCTATTTAGTAATGGCTATTGTGCTGTAAAACTGTTGCTTTATTTAAACATGACGGATCGTAATGAAAAGAACCACAATGCTCACACAATATTTGCTATTTGGTGGTGGTGTCACTGATGGAAAATACTTTCTATCATGCTTTTTGTAGCAACTGGGATGTTTGGGTAAACTTTACTCTTTGGTGAGACTATGTTTTGAAGCTTTGTCTGTCACCCATACAGTACTCACCAAACTGTTTTGTACTTCTTTTTCTGGATCAGTCCACCTGTCCTTTATGGCACCAGGGGAGAACTCATCAGAACTTCTTCTATCCTCAGCAGGCTCCCAGCTCACCGACAAACCACAATCTGAATAAGACAGAGAAACACTGATCAACCTGTGTTGTTAAAAGAAACACTACTACTACTACTACTATACTACTACACTACGGTATACTATAAATTAAGGGCTAAATTGTGAAGCGGTATTGGCTATGTTGAGCTTTGATCCGATCTTTTGTTTTACCTTGATCGGGGCATCCCTACTATAAAGTGCAGCATCTGTTTTTTTACTCTGGAAGCAAGGCCAGGAGTATCAATAAAGGTTTTGCACTAGAACAAACCTTACATTAAAGGACATCTGAGAGGTCAGGGGAAAGGAGGAAAATCTAAGCATGATTTTTTCAAGGCATAATATTAGTAATAATAATAGTGTCTGAATGTCTTCATGTTTACACACCAACAACTTCAGCGAATTTGTAGTCCTCTGCACGGTCCTTGCCTATTATCACCTCCTCAATATCTCTTTCTTCTTTGGCCACTTCGTCATCAACATTTAACCTTCTCCTCAGTCGTGATCTGAAGACATGAAAGAATCAATACCATGTTCTAATTAGGCATCGTACTTTGTTACATTTTTTCAGCAAAGCCCCATAAAGTAGCGTAGCTGCACATAATCACAAATTATCCGAGACTAAACACATAAAAACCAACCAAGTTTTTTGCCTGGAAAATATGGCGAGCCAAGGATGTAGCAGGCCGAGCCAAACTTCATTAAAAGGCAATTTCTCCTTAGTTTGAAATTGAAAATAAATAGAAGAAATTGCCCTATTAAAGAATACCTCCTACTGCTTTTGTGGCTATTTTTGTTCATTATTCACAGGTCTATGTGGAAAACCACCACACTTCCCTGACTTTTGAAGTGTAGTCTATTTCTTGTGCAAATACAATACAGCATCAGATGTAAGACAAAGAGACGAGCCCACACAGAAAATGTACTGTTTAGAAGAAAACGACCCAACAAGCTTCTCATGCAAGTGGGTTCCATTTTCTGGCTCATTATTCATAGTCAGGCGCTTAATGGCGTGAGTCTCCCTTTCTTTTCTGCAACTGTCTATCTTATTATTATTCTAGAGATGCTGCAAGCCCGCAGGAATAACACTGTGCTGTGCAGAAGCCACAGGTAGAATTGGCAGTCTACTGACACCCTGGGACCCAGGAAGACTTTATGCCATACATCTCTATTATGTGAATAATGATAACTTAAAACAAACAGTACAGTAGAAGCATTATCAAAATATGACTTTGGTAGTCAGCCTTACTCAGCCAAGAGGGAGACAATAAATACGTGTGTCATTAACAGGAGTAGGAAGTGGGAGAAACACAGTCCCTATAATTCGCTAGGTGAGCAGCCATCACTGGAGTGAAAAGGCTGAGGGTAGAAAATACACAAATGGAGTTGTGTGTTGGAGTATCACTTCCACTGACAACAAAACACCAGGAAGTCACTGCTCCCGGTCAAGAAATAGTCCAGCACATTACCAACTGTAAAATAACAACTTGTTGTTTTCACACTTCAATTTCAATTAAATACACAAGATGTAACATGTTAATTAGTGAGCTTTAGTGGTGCTGGCACGCAAACTTTGTTACATATGCACAGAGCCAAGCTGCCCCCCCCTCATTTCCAGTCCTTATGCAAGCTAAGCTAACTGGCTGCCTGCTGTAGCTTTAAAAGGGACTTCCTACCTTTGAGGGGGTGATGAGGTGGTCTTCTGGTTGTGTTTAGTGGTTACATTGTTGATTTTATCATTCCTAGTCTCCCTTTGAGTGGACCTTGTGTCTCGGCAAATCAGGGGTTCTTCTCTGCCCCGACCAGTCTTCCTCCGCGTACTTGACACTTGTTGATTTCCCAAGGTACAATTCTGTTTTATCCTTTCCATATAAGCCCTTCCCTTTTCTGTCTTTAGGATATCTGTCAGGATCAGACAGGGCTTTCTCCTACAGGAGGAAACAGAGAAGCAATTATTCACAACCTTCCCAGAGCAGCCTCTTCTCTTCAACATTGTGCCCCCTCAACACATTCTAACTTATTGCTCATCTACCATTCCAAGTCAGCCTTTATTTATGCCAGCTGATCACGAGGGAGGGGTAGGCAAGAAGACTGGTGTAGATAAGCCATGTGTGTAGTCATGATAAGCTTGGTCTCGAGTCATGGTGCTTATAGGCAGTCTCCTTTTGGCAGTGCAACATGGAGCACTGCAGAAAATTAATACTGTACACACAAATAACACATGCCAGACAGTCTTGAAAATAAGGCAAGGGTGGTTTTATGTTTGTGGTGTGAAATAAAGAATGTCTTGAGGAACCACAAGTCAGATTAAGACAAAACTTGGGAGGACAATTAACTTTGACACGCAAATATTCTCAGTAGTGTAGTAGTGGTACACTAGAAGTGCCATATTACCTCATTAAATGGCCATAACTGCTTAATTACATTTTTTACAGAAATGTTTAATATTGCTGAAGGCACTGAAAAAATAAGAATACTGCAGTAAATCACCTCTATGAGACTTTTAAGAGTGCCCCATCTTGTGAAAGTTTAAGAAACTGCAATGAACTACACAGTCGAGGCAGGGCAAGTTTATTTGTATGGCACCTTTCAACAACGAGGCAGGTGCTTTAGATAAAGACAGAAAGGCATTAAGAAAAGACAACAGAAACACAGGCAGTATAAAAATCCAATGAGACAGTAGAATGATAAGTACAATATACTGTATGAATAATAATAATAATAATAATAATAATCATAATAAATGCAATATGTGGTGTATAAAAACTGAATGCTGCTTCTGTGTTTAGTTTTGACAGTAAGCTGACCTGTCCCTGCACCCTAACCTTGCTGACCTTATCATTCTCATTAGGAGAGAGCCTGAGAGTGATTCATGAGCTGGTTGTCAATATGCTGACAATGAGGCAGTGATGTTTTGTCTGTGTCGCACAGAGACTGCACCATCTTAGGCCTGGGCTGATGGGTGTAGCAGACTGAACTGAAAATGGTCCAACAGTACTTTAACTTTATTCAGATCTGCTTGGGTGGAGACAATCTGCCCTGAAAAGATTTAAGTTATCAATTGATCCCTTTGCGAACCACAGGTTTTGCTGAGCCATGTGTTGAGTCCTAAGAGTCTGCTGATCCTGTGGATTGTTGGCAGTGGTCCACTGATAAAAAACACTTTAGCACTTCTGATTGCTCTCTGCAAACATCATGGGCCCTCAGACGTAGAACAATCTGATTAAGTTTGGGCTGTTTGGTTATCCATTGAGGAAATTTCTTTCTATGCGACAAGACATAGCATCTGGGCAGCAGTGTTATAAATTGTCTTACCGCTCATGTTTCTGGTAGCGGTGTCTCCCACAAAGAGTTACAGGTTAAATCTTCTCTTTAGGTGTTTTCTTTTGCATTTGCGCCACATGAGATCTCTCTCTAAGATTTTTTAATGGTCCAAACCTGTTTTACAGTTATGTCGGGGTGACTGTGATCTGTGTTTATGCCATCCTTTGGCTGACTACAATGAACTTTAATGCTGTTTATGAGCTAACTCACTGGCAGATACTCGGTGTCTCAGTTCAAATATCCTTGTCTCAAGTATAGCAATACTCTAAACAATCTAAGACAGTACGTACACTGCATCGATTCTGATGAGCAGAGAGGCATAGTGCAACCCAGGGTACAGTTGTGTCAGTAGTCCACTAAGTTACTGTTGGATCAACGTCAGCGGATAGCAGAGGGCTGTTTATAGTAGATAATCACAACCCAGACTTGTTACACATTAGCCTTAGAATGATGTACTTGTTTTGGACACCTTCTTAAATGTGCTGTAGCAAAGTAGGAAGCCATCTTGGAAAAATAACAATAATAATAAATTCACAGCCCAGTTTTAGTTTAGATGACTCGAACTAGTGGCATACCTGTCAGTTTTAACTGATCGGCAGATCAATGATCAGGTAATTCTGCCTGTAATCAATAGCCTAAAAAAAAAGTCCATCTGTCAAAACTCTCTTGTCAGCACCTGCTTACCTGGCCATTTCCAATGTGACCATGGCTGCATGGTTGTGATCACACAGCACGGACCCATTTTTGTGCTGTAAATCACGATGTCTCCGTTTGCAAGCAATTTCGGTCCAGGAAACCTGTTGACAAGAAGGAATCAGTTAGAGTCCCAAAAATAATCCAGAATAGCACCATAAGATTTGTTCATATGGTCACAGAGAGAGCAAAGATATGGTTGTACCTGTCTTTCAAACTTTCCACACTCTGATGAAAAACATGTCATGGGGATTCTGAATGGGCTTTCCATCTAAAATTCACATGCTGGTTAGTTACCATGCTTGCATAAAACGAATGAAATGAAACAGCCATAGATGTGCACACACAGCAATGAGCAAAGCTTGTCATTTTGATCTGTAATACATTACTTTTTCTTTTCTATGTGGTCGCAGCTGTTTAGCCAAACTGGTATTAAAGCAGCGTACATAAGCTGGCACCACATTTCAAATGTGCTCATGGGTAGTAGCTACAGCTGAAAAACAAGTTGATTGATTAGATTGATCAACAGGTAATAAATTAGCAAGTACTTTGATTTATCTTTTTTTAAAAGTCATTTTTCAGATAAAAATACCAACCTACTTCATTTGGTGTCTTGTGTGATGGTAAACGTATTCTCTCTCTCTCTCTCTCTCATTATATTTTATATACTGTTACATGATTAATTGAATATTTGCACAAAGGTTCTAAATAAAAGGATAAAAATAATCAAATGTCAGTAAGTACTTTTTATTTGTTGAGTATATAATTAAAAATGTAATAACATTCCCTGTGGCCATTGCATCTAAACTATTTATAAATTGAATTTACAGAAAATGGGCTATATCATGATGTGTGTCATTGTCAGGATGTGAGATTTTGGTCACATTGAACGGCCCTAGCAGCACCTTATTGCAGCTCCTCCTGCTTGTTGGAGGCTGTCTAGTGAGGAGTGCTTACTGATCCACAGACTGGTGATCAAAGAGTACAACCATTACATAATCCCAAATCACTGTGAGCATGTGAGCATGATTGGCACAATTTATGATAGCAGCCATAAAGCAAGCATCACTAAATATCTAGCCAGGGTGAAAAGCAAATTAAAGCTGCACATTAAAAGCTTACAAGCAGGGAGCAAGATTTATTTTTGTCCGTCGGCTAAATGGTTAGTGATTGATTCATTTTTACCAGCAGCATTTTTTACCAGCATTTGGCTGGTGATGATTTTGTGCACAAGTTAACATGCATGTTGTTAAAAAGGCATATTTCAAAACCATGGGTCATACATACCAAGCTGTCCTTGTCAACAGTAAATGGAATAGTTAAGGCTCTTCTTCGCTCCATCATGGTTCACGATTTGGTAAGGCACAGCAAGAACACTGCAAGAAACACACAGGAAGCAAATCATGAGCAGTGTGTTTCTACCAAAACAAGTAAAACCCTGAGTGACAAAGTGGTCATAGACACGCAGAACTTTAAAACAAAACGTCCTCCAAGCTATAAGCAAAATGTAACTTTTCACAGGTGAAATGTGTAGTTATTATTGGGCTCTGTAGGAAGACACAGACTGTGAATAAAAAGCTAAAAACCATGTAAAACAAAAAGGACAAGTACTACTATACCAACAGTGTCAAATCCCTAAAAACAGAAAGAGCGTACACCCTCGAGGAGCTGGAAACCCGAGGGTAAAAAGAAACCTGGTTTTCCTTAAGCTGTCTAGTAAATGAGTAAAACCAAGAAGAATACAGGTTAGCCTCTGAATGGTTTAAACTGTGTTTATGTTGCACAGGCAGCACGTGTAACGCTAATGTTACCTATTAAAAACAGACCACTCGCATTAAAGCCGGTTCTCTACACAACAGCCATGCGTATTAGTTTAAAGCCCATTTATGAAAACACACAGAAACACAAAGTGAAAGACGTTGTCAACCTGGCGATAGCCGGCGGAGCTAACCATGCTAATGCTACTTCGTCCAGGAGCTAATAGCTAAACGTAAGTGAACGCCACAGCTTACCGTCGGCCGGAGCTTCACTAGATATTAACAGAGCATATAAGGAGAACGGAGACATCTAGTTTCCCCTGAACGCTTCCAGCAGCACCTTGCAAAACACAGCAGGTTCACATTTTTGCTGGGTTTGAGTCTGGACTTAACAAGCGCTCCGATGCTGCTCAGCAACATCCGGTTACTACGGAAGTGCATCGGGAAAACAGCAGGGAGCACGAAGAGGTTGCAGCGTTGGTTCCTGGTAGAGAGGGCTACAATGGGACAGGAGCCCGCCTTCTCATCTGCTCTCACTGTGCATTGGTATTGTTACAGTGCCTTGGAAGATGGGGACTATCCCAGAGGTGGAATAGACCTCTTTGCCACTTTGACAGGAATATAATCTGATTTAGGTTTATTGCCAAGTAGGTTTTTCACACACAAGGAATTTGCCTATATAGGTGCATAACAATAAACACAGCACGAGAAACATATAAATGAAGATGTACTACAGTCAAGAAGCATAAAATTAACAATAAAGACAAAAAAGAAAGAAAATATGGCCTATAGATAGATAGATAGATAGATAGATAGACACAGGTGTTACCAATGATACTAATTAAGTTTCCATTCAGGGAATACAGTCAGGGTGCTGCTATTGTGCATGTTGGCTCACTGGGAAGGCTCTGATACACTTAATGGAACAGCACCTTAATTAGTATCATTGCAAACACCTGTGTCTACCTTACTATTTAATGTCAGTAGGGTTGGTGTGAAAAAGGACTTTTTTTCACAAATATTTGATTGAAATTTATGGTCAGTCCCCAGACTTTCATGGAGTTTACTGACTTTGGTTATGCCCTGACTTTTCCTCTGGCACCACCAACGTGTTGACATTTTAAGTTCAGTGACGTGTCTCGAAAAAGGGATTGACATTTCCTACCAACAATCATGTTCCCCACGGGGTGAATTGTAATCACTTTGGTGATGGCCTGTTTTTCTCTAAGCGCATCAGGTCTAAATTTCAATTAGTCTTTGATTTATCATTTAAAAAAGTGTACAGCCTCAGGGGTATTTTGTGTCAAGGCTGGATTACCAACCAGCCAAAGCAGGCATTTGTCCCAGGCCCAAGGTTTACTGTGTCAGCTGCTTTTTTGGTAATTTAATTACATGCAAATTTGTTTGGGAATTTCTGTGGTGTGTGTAATGTGCTTGATGGGAACTTGGGGGCAGCAGGTGCATAACAGCAATGTTTCGCCCCGGTGCCCCCGACAATGAACATGTCAATATTACCCACTAAACATCAGCGTGATACCAAGCTGACATCAGTACTCAGTTCAAAGCACTTCTGTGAGGCTGTAGACTAGTATGAGAACCAGTTCTAACAAAATTCAAATGATTTAACTATCTTAAGGGAAGAGAATAAGAGATTTAGAGTGTATTAAGATATGTATTTTTGTATGTGTGTATAAGCTTTTGCATGGCATGCTTTAAAATCATACCAAACGATAAATGTACAATGAGAGATTTGTAAGAGTTATGTAGGTAGCATGAACCATTTTTACCATTTGGTAACACATGCCTGGTTGTCAGTAATGATGTGTTTCCTATGTTTGACTTTCCATTGTGAACATAAACAGCATTAAAGTTCATTGTAGTCATTTTAAGTATCAGCTTTCTTAGTTATTACAGTCAGCATAATAACCATTACCGAACACAAGTATACAAACATCACCCCTGTAGCAACGTTTCTTTTAATTTATTGATACAGCAGCAGAAACATCAGGCCTGCTCAGCCCCTGGAGAGAGGTTGGTGAGTCGGCCTTCAAACACTGCAGTACAGAAACTATAGGCCTTTCTCACAGATAAAATGTTGACTAACCAAATAGATTTAATCACACAAATGTCTCCATTACATTCAAGGGAAAAGGGGGAAAGAGTCATTGTAATGTTATCAGTTTCAGCTTTTTTTTCCTATGGTAAGTCAAAATATCTGCTGTGAAAAAGACCTAAATGCGTAACATTAGGAGCTGGATATTGGCCACTGAGTAGTGCATTAACACTGGAAAGCTGTGGAATATTGTTCTTGGTATTACTGTCCGTGTGTAGTTCGTAAACTTTGATAAAAATTAATGTTGACATTGTATTTACACACAGAATCATCCAGTATTATTGTAATACCTGTAATGTAAAAATACAAAGATGACAAATTATATTTTTCCATTCAGGTGACCACAGTCCCAGTGTCCACCGAGATCTTTAACGTCAGGGGCCACATTTCTGCACAGCTGTCTCTGAGGACGTCCCCGAGGCTGCTGCTCCGCTGACACCTCCATCATGTCCGGAGCTCAGTGCGGCCAGTGGAGCGTTTCCTCTTGACTCATGTCCCGCTCTCCTTTCAGCTAAGTAGAAAAGAGCCATGTGAGTCACTGACATGTACAATATAATGCTCCTCTATACGCCTACAGTACATGCACCTAGCTCTAATACCCCTAATCTCATGGACATGCTGCATGACATAATGGTTATGACCAAATAAGAACAATGGTGTCCGAGCAGGTTACTGTACAAAAAGTGTTAACTGATCAAGTTAGATTTGATAGGAAAAAAAGACTCAATAAAAGGTCTCATTGTAACATGGGACACAGTTTAAGAAAGATCTGATGTTCTCTGAAGAATAAACAGTAAGCTGACCATCCTACACAAGCCAAAATAGCTGCAGGCATCATAAAGAAACAGGTATGTCTACATACAGTGTTTTCATTATCTTACCAATAGCACTACATGGTGTTATTATGGGCTTTTCCACTTGCTCTCCATCAGCAATGGAAGCCCGGATCTTCCTAACCACATAGATGCTAGCTGTGAAACAAAAAGAAGAAGTCAGGAAAGTAGAAGTAAGAAAAACAGCACTAAACCTCAGAGTATAATGAAGATAGGTAAAGACATTGAAACATATGAATACACCGCTATGTTATTTGCCCTCAAGATAGATAGGTAAACAAGCTGAAAAACAGCACTTAAGTCTTAAAGATTAATTATGAATAAGGTCGTCACAAACTGTATATTCAGAGGTGGAACAAGTACTCAGATCATATAGTTAGTTTACGGTTAAGAAAAGTAGTCGTGTAGTCAAAAGTTATATATACTTAAAGTAAAAGTACTCATTATGCAGAATGGCCAATTTCAAAATAATATACATTATATTAATAGAAAAGTGGGGCTAATTCAAACTCATTTATATAGACCTACTGCTGGGTAGCTTAATCAATAATAATACATCATTTTTTGGTTATATTTTGTATTTATAATCCAAACATGCAAAGTAAATGTAATGGAGTAAAAATACCTCAAAATTGTACTTGGTTACTTTCCACCACAATACAGATAGATAGATAGATAGATAGATAGATAGATAGATAATTGCAGGACACAATACAAACACCAGTGTCTCTGCGCTGCCTGGGTGTGGTTATCTAAGGCTTTAATTGACAAGAAACGACAAACAAATCCTACCTTTTATCAGCAGTCAGACCATGGTTGCTGATCTATGACAGATAACCTGGTCCGTTGCAGGTAAATGCAGCTTTCTTCCGATATTGATAACCGAACTGTTACAAAAGCACACCGGATGTTACATATAGGGGATAACACCGGGGGGCGGGACTTAAAGCTCCCAGCAGCATTCTGATTGGCTGAGCTGTTGCACAATAAAGCACATTGTTAGCGCAGAGACATGGGACGTATCGATAGAAAGCAGGGTTGAGGTTAGTCAAACTGTGCAGAATCATCCTGCAGCGATCGGCTCACAATGCGTGCTGGTCAGAGAGACCAGACTGATTAATTGGAATTCATTAATTAAAAGTGTATTAACTGACTTAATTATTGTCCAAGAAGCGCAAATAATTGAGTCACTTAATCAATAGCTTTCCTGGAATATAGTAAAGTGTGTGCTTAAAAGACAGCATTAAACCTGAATCCCCTGCAGCTATTAGTCACTTTCCAGGCAAAATACATTGAGCTTTATTTTGAAACGGTCCAAATAGGATTTTTCCAAAACTACTTTTAATGTACAAGAAAGCAGCCTATGGATGTACTGTCCATGCTCGAGACATAAGTGAACACAAATCAGGTTGTCCCATATAATAATTTAATGTCAGGCATTCTATTGCAATTTACAGAGCTACCTTTATCCTTTCCGATCCTAACAACCAACATTATGATCAAGTATTTATGTAATCCAACATGTAGTTATTATTTAGAACTGAAGCAGGGTGAAACCTACCCGGGATAAACATAGCGCAAATCTTTTCACAATAAGAGTACAGCAGTCTTCACATAGTTGCATTTGTATATTCAATATATACACATAGATTTCATTTAACTTAAAACAGTTTCACACAGCAAGACAAGCACAACCTCACACAGAAACCAGACAAATCTCATTCTTTCATAACATTACAATAGTTTTTTTACAATAAAAAATACAATTGCAATCACCGGGGGAAACAAATGAAACATAGTTAGTGAGGAGTTAAAGTCATAAGGAATGATGTGAGGTTGAGGGGAGGAAGTCTGAATTTGTTCAGTGTATACACCAGTGGAAGATGATATTAAACCGCTTCGTGAAGGCAAATTCAAGAACCACTACTGTAATGCTTATATTTTTTGTCCATCATCATGCCAGTGTTGTAAACAAAGAGGGGATTCAGTATTACGGCCTTCCTCCCATCAAGCGGTCACAGTTTTATTTCACTAAACAAGACCTCACACAAAACACAAACATTCACTAGAGGGATCTACGAGGACAGCTGGAGTGCTGATGGTCAGGACTTAGTCCATCCTGATCTTCTGATTGGTCATCCTGTAGATGATGCTGTCATATCCTGGGTCCATGTTCCACAGGTTGTAAGATACGGCGATGACAGCAAGGGCGAGAGCGATCATCAGCCACAGCACAATGTTGAAGACCACAGCGTAGTGGAAGTTGTACTTGTAGGCCAGGTTGTAAGGGCTGCCAGGGTTACTCTGCATAAGAAAGATTTAGATACAGAAAGGTAGATGCATTAGTTAAAACATGTCTGCCATCAGAAAACACTTAAAATCAGTTTCAGTCATAAAACTGCAGTAGCCATTTATAAAGGGTGAAGTGCAGGCCTGCTTATTATATTTCAATAAAAAAATAAATAAAAAAACATTCTTGGTCACACGTTACCTGTTGTAA